GAAATTGATAACACTGATATGCATGACAAAAAACAAAAGTTCCTACCCGAAAAACTATAAATAATTCAGTAAAATAAAAAAATCATCCAATACCCGAAGTGAAAATTTTGATGGGATTGATAATTTGAATGTGTATAACTAGTACTTCACAGTAGAAAAAATTTAAGTATAAAATCTCTGAAAATTTATTTGTGATTTTTTGTATGCATTTTGAATTGCAACCAAAGATGCAAAACTGGTTCTTGCTTCGCTATGCTGGATATTCAAATTACACAAGTGTCCTTACAATCAACGTTATAATATTTGATAGATGGATTAATTTTTTATCACTCAACGATCAGTGGCAAATATGTCATGCATGTTCAGGACAAGAACAAATACAAATAGGTAGGTCCTGTAGAAGATGCCGTCCAGTTTGGAGGTCGGGGAAATCTGAATTGCCACTGATAAAAGAGGGACGAAAGATACCAGAGGGACAGTCAAACTCATAGATCGAAAACAAACTGACAACGCCATGGCCAAAAAGAAAAAGACAAACAGACAAATAATAGTACAGATGACACAACATAGAAAACTAAAGACTAAGCAACACGAACCCCACCAAAAACTGAGGGTGATCTCAGGTGCTCCGGAAGGGTAAGCAGATCCTGCTCCACATGTGGCACCCGTCGTGTTGCTTATGTTATTACAAATCCGGTAAATAGCCTAATTCGGTAGGTCACATTTGTGAAAAGGGAAGGGTATTGTAGTTACGACATAAGGAACATATCCGATATCATCTGTGAAACGGTTATTCCATAACGGTCAACCAACTCGTGATGGCGTCCGTAAAATTTACGAAGGGATGATTTCAACTTCACCATTTGGAACTCTTGGTTTAAAAGCTTCCTTGTGAGCAGCAATCCTCTATCAAAGAAATAAATTACGGTAAATTGGAAAGGAACGGATAGAGATGTTGCCTTTCAACAGGCCACCTACGAACCCCTCAAAGAGTTTTTAACGTTTAGATAGCGTGGCACTCTCTTTATATATATATATATACGAAGCATCGGATTTTACGTCCCTTTTCTGTTCAGACGTGACTGCGTACTTTTACATCCCGCACAGTCAAACGGACGCTCCGCAATGTCAAGGATTTCAATGCATAGCCACCTTTGCGGGGTGGGGGTATATCATTTGAGATGATAAGGTTTTAAATGGTTTGAATGGACATTTGAAACAGGGGTGTCCATATGAAATAATTTCGTTTTGAACGTGACAGTTGTATTGTTTCGTATACTTAACGCCTCTTGTTTTACAATGGTAGAAGGTCATTGCCAAAACCACAAAGAGTAGATTATAAAATAATGAGGATAACCATAGATGTGTCTACAACGGGGGTGGAGTTCAAAAAATTAGAAAAGCGATTTTCTATGTATACAAAATTTTGTCGTATGATATATTTATGTTTCATATTCCACATTGGCTAGAGGTATAAGGGGAAGGTTAAGATATCACAAAACATGTTTAACCCAGCCGCATTTTTGCGCCTGTCCCAAGTGAGGAACATCTGGCCTTTGTTAGTCATGTAGTTTGTTTTAAATTTTGGTTCATTTATATGTTTCGGAGTTTAGTGTGACGTCCATTTTCGCTGAACTAGTATACATTACTATTTGAGGGCCAGCTGAAGCCCGCATTCGGGTGCGGGATTTTCTCGCTATGTTGAAGACCCATCGGTGGCCTTGGGCTGTGCTCTGCTCTTTGGTCGGGTTGTTGTCTCTTTGACACTTTCCCCATTTCCATTCTCAATTCTATATATACCAAATGCTTATTTTAGATCTATGTAAAAGATAAAGACGTTACCACGTTAGGCAAAAGTTGCTATTCGAACAATGATCCGCACATGATGACATTTGATCAACAGTGAGTATCAATTACTTAGTACAATACATAAAACATATATAATCGATCTTTTGACAAAACACAACCATTGCTGTTTATATTTCACTCGTTTTTTTGTGCTTTTATTGCAGTAATACATGTTTTTAAATGGAAGGAAATATTCAAATCATATCAAGCACTAATTTGTGCCTATACCAAAGCCAGATGTCCTTCGTAAGATGAAATTTCGCATAACGGTGTTTGGTTTATTGCTCCTCATCTTCTTAGGACAATCGTTATTACACTTAAGAGATAAAGTCAGTCTTAAATATATCAAAGATAAGTCGTGTCTTCCAGCGCCCCAACACTTCAGACAATCGGACCACAACATTGATGGCAAAAAACGAATGAAATGTCTAGTGATTGATCAGATAAAAGGGTTTCCTATTATGATTTTTTGATAGAGGGTTGCTGCTTACAAAGAAATTATTTGTCCAATGGTTTCAAGTAATTTTGGTAATCTCTGCGACTGTTTTATGGACACCATCACGAGTTGGTTGACTGTTATGTTATATCGGTGTCATAAACAGATGACTACGTATATGGTCTAATATTCGTAGCTGCAAGTCTGTCCTCTTTTCCTTGATTTTGACATTACCGAATGAGACTTATCACGGGATTTGTAATTGCATAATATAAACGAATGTTGTCACATGTGAAGCAGGAACCGCTACGTCTTCCGAAGCAGCTTGTCCACCATCGATTTTTTGTGGAATTCCTGATGCTCAGTCATTAGTTGTCTATGTCGTGTTATGTAGTTTTGTTCGTCTACGGCTTTCAGGTGGTTTTCAGGGCTTACATTAATATAATGGTAATTGATTCATGTGAATTCATTTTTATTCGTGGGAAAAGAACTTTTGTTGATTTCGTGGGTACGATTTAAATTTTCCATGAAGTATAAATTTTCAATTATGGAGACTATGGCAAAACCGCGAAATCAAATATGCACGAAAATACAAGTTTTCCTCAATCCATGAACTTTGGTACCCACAAATGATAACATGAATCAACAGCAACCTATTTCGCCGATATAAATCATAATTTAATCATCCTTGCATCTTTAGTACATTTTTAAATAGCCAATATGTAAGGCTTTCAATATACATTATCACAGGCTATTAGCAACATTTTATATTCTTTGTGACCTATCTAAATATTAAGAGGTTTAGCTAGCTATAAAACCAGGTTTAATCCATCATTTTCTACATAAGGAAATGCATGTACCAAGTCAGAAATATGACAGTTGTTTTTCATTCGTTTGATGTGTTTGAGCTTTTGATTTTGTCATTTAAGAAAGGACTTTCCGTTTTGAATTTTCTTTAGATTTCTGTATTTTTGTTATTTTTCTTTTTCCTATGCCTGCAGCAGTTTTAAATCGTAGTAATTAAACTCCTGACCGCATCAAACACTTTGAATGGAACAGACATTTGCTACATGTAATTACAAAATTTTCGTGACAAGAATGGTAACACTTCCCTATAAAATGTCCTCTTTTCATGATCAGATCTTGCGTTATGGTTAGAACCACTGTCTTTACATGCAAGGCGAATGATCGTAAAATATGGATAAAGTACGTTTATAGAAAGATGACTTTTAAACACAATCAGTGTGTGCAGATGGAAATTACTATGACATTGTGCGGTGAATCTTTTTGAATATATATATATATATAATATGCTAGCTAGTTTGTCTGGCGAAATATTGCGTTTATTTTTTATCACATTATAAATATTTTTAATATTTTAATATTTACATACTAAATAGTGTGCTAAAATTACATTGTTATGCAATTTATACATATTTATTGGAGAGAGAGAGAGAGAGAGAGAGAGAGAGAGAGAGAGAGAGAGAGAGATTGTTTGTTTATATAAAAAAGACATAAAAATTGTACTTAATTGTCTCTGAAGCGAAAGCAAAATTAAAAGAAAAATATATTTTACAAAAAGCCTCCTACTTATCTCGTTTATGTCCTTTAGTGATATCTTGAATTTCAAATACTTATAATAAATAGATAACAAATATTCCAGACATGCTCAGGACTATGTTTATTTTTTTATATATACAACATTTTAGAGATTATGAGTTGCAACTAAGCAAAGACATGTCAAAAGGTGAATACATAATGTATAAACACGTGCGACTCCCACTACAGGTAGAGTATATATTTATATATCTTTTGTTTCTCATGATATCAGTTGCTGTGGACAGTTTGTAAATTCAAAACTATACAGCTCATTTACGACATACCTGATAGTGGAGGGGTTAACTATTTTGAGTAAAAAGTCGTCAGGGTCGTCTTGCAACAATCATGGTAATCGCCAAGTTAATATATTCATCATGTTGCTCGTATTTTTGCATTACGCAACACATTTATGAAGAGTTTTTTTTTCTAGTTCTGAGTTTATACCAATTCTGGTTGACTGTAAGTTCCCGAGTGTATCGTCAGATCAGTAGTCAGTGCTGCATGATTTATAACATAGTTTTTCAATTAAATTCTCCGTTGTTAAATGAAGAAATTATTTTTTATGTTAGTTCCGACTTCCTCAGAAAAAATTGACCTTAGGAAGCTTTGGCCCCTTATCCATTATATCGTTATATAGCTCTTTATGTGCTTACATGTATGTAGTTATACATCCTTGACTTTCGTTTTCTGTGGTTTGAACGTTTTTGCCGAAGGTAAATCCAAACAAGCGCTTGGAAAAGAAGTGCTATTCTCATTTGCTTTTCTACCACTAAATCGATAACGCAGCTGGTTGACTTTTATTCCTAATGATATCATCCGCTAAAAAGTCAGTGCTTCGTTACTGACATGATTTAAGTCATCCTTTTGTATTTAAGTTCTAACTCCCCCAGGCAAAGTTTATCTTAGATAGATGTGTTTATTCTTATTTTATAAAGGCTTTTGTTTTATATTAGAGCTCTATACACATGTTAAGGTCATTATACATCTTTGGCTTTCAACTTCTGTAGTTATGAAAGTTCATAAATAATGTATATCCAGAGAAGAGCTTCGGAAACAATTAATATATTAAGCGTCACTAGTGAGTCTTATGTACACGAAATTCATCTCGCCTACGAAATTATAAGTCTGGTATCATAAATGAGTTTTTATATTCATTTTGTTTTGTTAGAATGTTTCATAAGTCCTATCAAAATTGACAAATATAAACAGGCATTATGTTCATCAATACTCTTACGATGATTGCAGGTGGTTTTATCTATTTTCATTATACTCTTTTTCAAATTTATAATCACGAAGATAACCACTCATTTATACATTGTGGCAATCTTAAACGTTGGCTGTGAGCGTATATAATGAAACTTCCAAGAAAATCCCTTAAACATACGTACGTTTGTTTGGATAAGACATAAGCATTCATAAAGATATATGTGATATTTAAGCAAGTTAGATGTCAGTACTGAAAAAAAAAACTCGTGTCACTGTGCTATTAAAGGTGCATGAAACGAAGAAAACATCAGAGAAAGACAGCGATTTTGATTTAATTTTCCTGATAAATCATCCTTAATGCATGATAAAGAAACCTTTTGTACTTCAAATACATCTGTGGGATGCATATTCCAGAAACTATTCTTAAAACAAGAAAATTACATAATACACAAAGGACATGAATAAAATCATTATTTTCTCTTTTACAACATTGCCACATTGATTATCAAAACCATCCATGTACATAAATTATTCATTTTACATCAATATTTAATATTTGTAACAGTACGTTCATTTTTATACGCCCGTTTACGGGACGTATTATGGTATGCTGCTGTCCGTCCGTCTGTCCGTCTGTCTGTTCGTCCGTCCGGACATTAACTCAAAAACGCTTAAACCAACTTGCATGAAACTTTGGTGAATTGTTTATATCTATTGACGTGAGCTACATTTCGATTTTTATAAATTTAGGATTTTACGTTTCCGAGTTATGGGGTTTTATTCATTAGAAAAGGGGGATTTTCAAGTTTTCGGACAATAACTCAAAAATGCTTTGAGCAGTTTTCATGAAACTTTAGTGAATTGTTTATATCTGTTGACTTGAGCTCCCTTTTGATTTTTATAAATTTTAGATTTTACGTTTCTGATTTGTGGGGTTTTATTAATTAAAAAAGGGGGATTTTCCAGTTTTCGGACAATAACTCAAAAGTGCTTTGAGTAGTTTTCATGAAACTTATGTGAATTTTTTATATCTACTGACGTGAGCTCCCTTGCGATTTTTATAAATTTTAGATTTTATGTTTCAGAGTTATGGGGTTTTATTTATTAGAAAAGGGGGATTTTCCAGTTTTCTGACATTAACTCAAAAACGCTTGAACCAACTTGCATGAAACTTTGGTGAATTGTTTATATCTATTTACGTGAGCTACATGTACCTTTCGATTTTTATAAATTTAGGAGTTTACGTTTCCGAGTTATGGGGTTTTATTCATTAGAAAAGGGGGATTTTTTCAAATTTTCGGACAATAAATCAAAAATGCTTTGAGCAGTTTTCATGAAACTTTAGCGAATTGTTTAGGCGCAACTTTTTGGAAGTTTTGGTCCTCGGTGCTCTTCAGCTTTGTACTTGTTTTGGCTTTCAAACTTTTTTCATCTGAGCGTCACTGGTTAGTCTTGTGTGGACGAGACGCACGTCTGGCGTATTAAATTTTTACACCTAGTACCTTTTGTTAGCTATTATTCGTGTGTTTCTTTGTCCTATATGTTCTCCCATTTATTTGTATTGTAGTCATGTCATGTAATGTTGTCATTTTAATGTTATATTTAACATTGCCATAAAAGCGGAAGGTTTGGCATGCCACAAAACCAGGTTCAACCCACCATTTTTTTCTTAAAATGTCCTGTACCAAGTCAGGGAAATGGTCATTGTTACATTTTTCGGACAATAACTCATAAGTGCTTTGAGCAGTTTTTATTAAACTTTGGTGACTGGTTTATATCTACTAAGATAACCTCCCTTTAGTTTTTTATAAATTTCTGATATGACATTGAGGAGTTATGGAACTTTATTCTTTGAAAAAGCGTCGGGCGTATCATGCGCTCATGGCACAGCTCTTTATTAACTAGTACTGCATTTATTTTAGGTAAGTGCGTACTTTAAGCCATGTTCTATATCTGTTCTGTGTAATTGTGGAGTAGCTGTGCGCAGTGCAGACAGCTTATTTGTTGCGAACTACTGCGAAACAAAGTACAACGGAATACAGAAGGTTAACCGGTATATAAAACAAAGACTATGTGACGACCAAAGCCTGATAGTTACAAAAACAAGCTCATCATATACGGTAAGATCTTCGGAATCAAATCGATTCATATGTTACACAACAACAATTTCTGATAGATGCTTTGGGAAATTTTGGTGTTATTGTTAAGGGTGCTATTTTATATATGAAACTTACCAAAAGTACCATAAATCACGTACTTGAAATGCAAAGAAATGGGTAAAATGACCATTTGATGTTCGTGTTGTGGAAAAAGTATTAAGACAAGCTTTTGATAATCTAATGAGAACAAATTATGTCCTTCTAATAGCGTCTTTTCAATGATACTCACAAAAGTTCATGACTAGTCTAAATAAGGATATCACTTAATAGATGTTTCTTACTTTTTTTGACATCTAATCTAGACGTACCGGCGAAATTTTAATGTTCAATTATCTCGAGCATTGTATTTCTTTATTCTTCAAAGTCGCCATACCAATTAAAGAAAACTCGGTCATGTTTTCAAATTAGCTAATCCTATTTGACGTGAGTGAATGTTTTTATCGTCGATTAATTTTCAAGAATCTTCTGTGATATAGGGGTTAAATTATTTCGCATGTTAAATACCCAATGATATATACAGCTGCTAATTGAAAACCATACAATGGGAAATCTAGTGTTACAATATTACCTACCCTGTAAATACTGAACACTTGATAATGAATTCTAGAACATGCCAGTTATCTGTATATGTATGCTGCTAAATCAGAGAATTTCAGAGGGGGGAAATCCGAAGGAACTGATTTATATGTAGCTACCATTTATATTTAGAAATGAAATTAAGAACAAAGAAGAGTTAGGTCATTGCTCATGACGTGAGTGTACATTGTTGCATAATTAATGAGCTCTGGTTTAACAGATAACAAAAAATAGGGGTTTTTACTCTAAATTACATTCATTAGAATCCCGAAATTGACACGAAACAAATCTTATTATTATCTATAAAGTTTTCGAATTTTCACGGCTTAAAAAAACATCAAGACTTTCTTAGACACTGCCTCTTTATATTAAGATATTAGTCTTTCTTGTTGAATCAAATATGATGGTGTCTGCACATTAAGAGCATACGATGTTATGCATGCACTAGTGCATAGCTAAAGACCTTGCGCTTAATTCAAGATTTCTACTTCTATTGTTTTAGTAATATTTCTATTGTCTCATAAATGTTTCCTAATATCAATATAATGTACATGTAGCTGCTTCAAGTTGATATCAATTTGAATTGTTAACGAAAACTTATGTTTGCAATTTTTTTTTAATTCTTCATTTTTCTCTATTTTTTTCTCTGACAGATCACTCTTCCAACTGGAACAAAGGTCACTTTTAACTATGGGTCTACCTATATAGATGGCATTAACATACAACCATCAGTATTAGACACAAACATGACGAAAGGGCTGTGTGGTATTTACAACGGCAATAAAAGCGACGATTATACGCCAAGAGATCAGTTAACCGCTGTGTCATCAAGCGAGCTCAAGACTTTTGTTTCATCGTGGCAGTATGTATTTAACATTATTCATTAACTGGTGGCATGCAACTGATTCTGAAAAAAAATATTAAGAATACATATGACCTAAAACTTTTAAACCACAATCGAAATATGAGCACCAAATTGTTGAATAATATGTGAAACTACTCTATTCAAACACTGTGAGCAACTGGATCAGTTTGATCTATCTAATATAAATGAATAAATACTTCGTACAGCTATCTATTACTATGATGACAATTTAAATGGAGTAATTAGTATCATGCATTTGATATATTTCACTGAAAATGGTATGTGTTCTACGGAACAGAATAACTTTATAAGCTGCTTCTATATCTAAGATAATTTTTATGATAAATGTTGTCACTGTCACTTTTGAAGATTACGTTAAGGTTTTTGTGTTTTTCCTTGTTCTTTGTTAAAAAAAAATGTTACAGATTTGCTCAAAACTGTCAACTTTAAAGCCTGCTCTTTTTATGTTCATCGGTGAAGGTCATGTGATGCTATCTGATTGATATCTCTGTAACTTCAATTGATGTTCATTCTCTTGTCTGTGAACCATCATGACAATATAGAGAAGGCACCATGATTACGATAAAAAAAATGTTTGATCGATTGTTGCTTTTTTAACACCCAGTGGCAAGTATTTCATGTATAATCGATAAAAGATAGTTTTTCCAAAAGAACTAAAAGATAATTGATACAGTTCACAAAACATATCACAGAAAACTAAACACTTATCATCATGACCCAAAAAATGTATTATTGATTTTATATGCTCGAATATATAATCCTGCTCCACTTGTGGTAATCGTACAAGTATCAGCAGCGGTTTCATATGATTCATGTAGTGACACACCTGGAATTTTGAAATCGTTGTATGAAAGGAGCATGGGTGAATAGTACAAAGTTATTTCAATGGGAGTCTAAACAAAAATTTACACTTTCCTGACCAATCTATTTAGAAATATTGAATCACTTCCATTTGAAGAAAGTCTAATAAATAATTTGATTAAAGCTATGAACGAGAATTATATTTTACTTACACACCCTGTAAGTTATTTTTAGATTGAAGTCGTGTGTACTTTTATATTCGGACAAAATAAAATTACGAGACAACATAAAGTATAATTCGTGTGGGTTTGGATGAGCTTTACAGAATAGAGAATAATGGGCAAAGAAATGCAGAATAATGGGCAAACAATAAGAATGGAGAAAAAATAGGAAAATACTTAAAGAATAGAGAATAATGGGCAAAAAGTTTAGAATAAACGACAAAAAAATAAGAATAGAGGAAAAATAGGCAAATATTTAAAGAAAGGAGAATAATGGGCAAAAAGTGCAGAATAAAGGGAAAAAAAATAAGAATAGAGAAAAATAGGCAAACATTTAAAGAATAGAGAATAATGGCGTGATGAAATATAAAGCATAGACTGAGATAATAGTCAAAATGGAGAAAAAATAGAAAAAAAATGTCTACAAAGTTGAAGAATAAAGAATTGAAGGACCCCTCATCCAGACCTTCTTACATATACATGATACATGTAGGTATATTACAAAATGTATAAGTATTTGTTTATTAGAGTTAGAGTATCGTTACTATTGCAGAGTCAATGGTACATATGCAGATGAAACCTTATTTCATCCTAATGGAACATTAAAGGAAACAGAATATTACGGTCAGCAATATTGTACCTGCGTGACCCCTAATGACACCTATCCCCATGGTGACCCAGAGTTCGACTGTGAATTAACATCTGCAATGAGACCATGCAGGAACACAAAAACTACACTAGGAGTTTATACGGTCGACTGTGCAACAGTTGCAACTCGGAAAAAGAGAGATGCGTCAGTTTATGAACAAGATGACGAAGAACCACCATCCTATCCTATGGATTCTGATGCGTCTCCCTCAATAAACGTAAGACCGACTATGTATAATCTCATTCTGTGTCAAAAGGTCTCCTTAATTTAATACTGCGTTATCTTTATATCATTTGTATATTGCTTAAACTGATAATATTTGTACACCGTGGTAGGAATGTTACTTTACATTATTTAAAACACAAATTTAATGTGAGTTTTGTTGTTTATGTTACGTATGAATGTCTTTTTCACACTTGTAGTTGATATTGCAAGAAATGTGTCAGTAGTTTTTTTTTTTTTTTTTTTTTTTTTCATGTGTGGTTCGTTTTTGAATCAATTGGTATACATAATTTTGTATTCCTAAGCGTAGCTGATGCGTAATGATTAAACAACCAGGGTAGTGTTTAGTATCCCTTTAAAAATTAGAAGTCTGTGAAAAGGGTCACTTTAAAAATTCATTATTTACATTACATGTGGGTGTTTAATTGATACAAATATTGAGCTTGTTTTGGCTGAAAACGAATCCTTTTATTACCCCACTTCAATTCAATTCTTATGATTCCAATCCAGGTGTATGAATGCAACACAGGATTCTAGAATCGTAAGCTCCACTCACCCTATAAATCCACGCCATTTTCCTTCATTTTTCGTGTACTTCCATATCTACATTCATATTGACATCTCGAGGAATGATACGGATTTTATCTTAATGGACAATTTCTGTCGACATTTTGTGTTTATTTTTTTTTTAAATTACATGTATATTTTTAATTTGAAGATCTGCAAGTACAAAGAATTAAATGTTGTGTTTTTAGATATATATATATATATACGAAATAAATTCAAATGACGATAACTATTTTAGCAAGAAGCTTTTCTGCGCTTCATACAAAACGTTATCGTCACTTGCATTCCTTTCGTATAAATTCACGAAAAACACTTTTCAAATTTATAATGAAATACAAGTGTAGATAATTTTGTTATATTTCAATATCTCTAAAGATACAACACAATTGCAATCAATCTAATCACCATACATAGTTCAGTGACAATAAAAGGCTTCATAAAATGTCCTTAATATACAACCTTTCAAACTATATATATAATGCATAATTGAACCCCATCTTAAACAGCATATCATTTTTTTTCACGTCAAGATATAAATGAAAAGGTATCCTAAGTCAGGAACCTGATGTTCAGTGGTTGTCGTTTGTTGATGTGGTTCATAAGTGTTTCTCGTTTCTCCATTTTTTATAAAGATTAGAACGTTGGTTTTCCTGTTTGAATGGTTTTTACACTAGTCATTTTTGGGACCCTTTATAGCTTGATGTTCGGTGTGAGCCAAGGCTTCGTGTTGAAGGCCGTACTTTGACCTATAATGGTTTACTTTTACAAATTGTGACTTGGATGAAGAGTTGTTTCATTGGCACTCATACCACATCTTCTTTTATTACACTTCATGTCAAAATGCCAGACTTTGATTGGTTTGATACGAGGGAGACAATTTACTCTATTACCCTTCACGGAGACGCTTGATCAAATGTGCGCTTTATTGAATACGGATGGTTGTTATGTACAAGACGTCATAGTGTATTTCTTTTAATTTGAAACTCAATAGACAGTAATAACAGAACATTTAGTATAATAAATTAAATAACACATATCTGAGAGGGTGATAGAGCAGATTGTTACCCCTCGAAAAGACATTGTCAACCTTGGCTTCGCCTCAGTTGACAATGTTTTCTCGGGGTAACAATCTACTCCATCACCCTCTCAGCTATGTGTTATTTATATAATATCTATGTAGTAATTTTGAACGATAACGAATCCCGATTGAGATCACCTTGCGTTTTTGATATTTATACGCTCCTTTCCATGTTAAGCTATTTAAAGTCTAGATTTTTTTTTTTGAAGATTACAGAAACATGGCATAATGGCTGGACGGAGGATTCAGCAAGACAACATTGTACCTTCCATTTTGAAAATGCAGCAGCTTACAATGTGTGCTCTGAATATGTGCCTTATGTAGATACAGATCCATTCATTTCTGGGTGTATTTTAGACATAAAGGTAGAGCTCTCATTTATATAAACGATCATGTAAGACAACTGAGATAGCCATATAAATTTTACTTAATAATAAGCAGTGTGCTTTACAAATAAAGAGGTAGATGATACCAAAGGAAAAATAAAAAAATCATAGTTCGAAGATAAACTGACTATGGCAAAAAAAATAAAAACTACCGACGAAAAGATAAACAACACCCCGCAAACCACTACATAGAAAGCTAAATACTAAACACACAAACTTCGTCAAAAACTGGGGGTAATATTAGGTGCTCAGAAAGGGTAAGCAGATCTTGCTGCACACTTGGCACCCGTCTTCTAACTCAATAGTTCAAAACAAAATTTTATACTAGTAGAAAGTCCTTAAGATTACGAAACCAAGACATTTTATTTAATTTTAGTATCCCAAATTGTTGTAAAAATCATCAGGAACTTCTTTTTGTATTTGGTGGTATGTTCAGAACTCTGAGTAGTAATGTGGGAGTGCTAATGAGAAAGTTACTGACAGAAATCATTCATCGACATTTAAATAATATTGCAGTTTTTTTGTTGTTTTTTTTTTACCATAAATATATCTCATGTGAGCACATTTCTAAATAGGCATCACTAGGTAGCAGAACGACCGGAATTAGTGAAAGTGATTGTATAAGTTGATCAACTGATACAATTGTGAAATTAAATATCGTTAAATGTAATTTACTTGGTGTCAATATCTCTTTCGAATTTTGTTTCAGTCCACAGGAGGAGATAGCTGGATGAAAGTTTCAATTAAAAATTTTGCAAGTGCATGTCTTCAGGAATCAAAACGACTGGAAATTCTGACTGTAACCAACAGCACTAATTCAACTGGTGTCGATAAACCAATATCATCTATCATTGAGGAGTCGACGTGTCCAGACAACTGTTCGAACCACGGACTTTGTGTAGATGGTATGATTAAAATGTGACAATTTCTCATATACTTTTATTAAAGAAAGCTTATGAAAATGGATTTTTTTTATATACGACAAATACCCACTATTAGCTGTAACCTCAAACTAGCTCTAAGCCCTTATAATGGGAGATGTGTTTGACGTACATTATATCTCTTTAAGTTTAAGTTTGAATTTCGTACTATTCAAAGGTAAAATATACGTCTTTCTTTATTTTACATCTTCTATAGTCCATTTGTTAATTACCGATTTGATTCTGTTATATCACACTTTTAACGCAGATTGTTTCCTTTTGTCAATTTTAGACCGGTTTTTATATCGGACAAAATGGGTTGCTGCTAATGCGAGGCATTATGAGCTTAAAGTGATACATGTATATAGGCCATGTCGGCGTTTTAACCATGATTGAATAAAAAATATAACTATTGATATATATTGATAAATGGAATGAAAAGATTTGAAAAATTAGATTACACACACTATGCACAGATAAATTTGCTATTTCCGCAAGCTGTTTGTCGTCAATGCAAATTTATGTCCGTCCTAAAAGCACCTCAAAAAATGAAACTCTAATTACAAGTTCAACAAAGCAGATTTGATATCTTGTTTCTTGTTAGTTCATCGGGATGACGTATCTTCAGTGTTACGGATTTGCATAGGAAACTATGCGGGTCTGAATGGGGTCCTTCATTTCTGTATTCTTTAATATTTTAGGCCATTTTTCACAATGCCTTATACTTTTTGCCCATTATTCTCTATTCTTTATATTTTAGCACCTCATTATTTTCTATTCTTTATATTTTTTGCCCATTATTCTCTATTCTGTAAACCCCCATCCACACCCTCAACCATTCACATTGGATTTATTGCAATATCAAACATTCACATGATACATTTACATTTTATTTTCGGATGATTGAAAGTACAAGCAAAAATATTATATAAGAGAAAAATCATGTTATCTTTGTCATTTTATTCAATGTATAGCACATCAGTTGCATTTCTAACGTTGTTATTTAAACAAAAGTAATTGGTAGGAATCGTACGCGTTTTATGGGTCTAGAACTAACATTTGGAAGTGTACTTAACCTGCGTGGTATCTTTCGCCTCTCTTCTATACATTTCTTTTATCAACCAATCGCTTCGAGGGATATACTGATACTTTGGATACATTTTTTTCCAGCAAAAAACAGAATAAGGCGGTTGGGTCAAACTTTTGCCATAATGCGGATTAAATGTTTTATGAACTTACGATTTCTAATTAAAAAAAAGTACCCTAACAATGAAGAATTACTGTTTGGCTAAGGTGTGGAGTGCAACTATCAGTTCGGTGCATACAATCGGAATCAGGCAAGGAAATATTATCTCGTTAAACATCGAATTTCGGGACTATTTTAAAAATGATTTGCGGTTCATCCAATATTAAGTTTGATAGTCTATAGTAAAAAAAAAAATACCGAAACGTTTTGAACACTAAGATTTGATTGGATGCTCAAAGGTAACTGAACTGACTACTTGTCAAATGTCTACAGATCTTTCACGAGCGACAAACAAATCTTACGAGGCTAAATGAAAGATCTGACTATAATGAGATTGATAGTATATGTTTTTAAATACATACGGCTATTATAAATTAATGGCAATGCCTCGACTGTATCAAAATGAATAAACAGATAAGAAATGTTTGTCATAGATGTTCATAAACATTTTATACTGTTTTTTTATTAAATACTGACAACTTCTTGTTTCTAAATGTCTGCCCAGGTAAAATAGGACTAAACTTTTAAACATTTAAACATTGTTTGGTTTGTTTTTTTTTTTTAATAATTAAACCGATTAAGAGCAAATCCATTACATATCAATGATTTTTCTGCTTTTTAGCTATAGTTTTGTTTGTTGTGCATATTTTCAGAAGAATGTCAATGCAGTGATGGTTATCATGGCGAACTGTGTTCCTTCACGGCTTCCCAAGCACCCACAGTTATTTTTGCTGCTTTTGAAGGTTTATGTGACTCATCAAAGAAACCATGCCGCACTTTTATCATCCCTGGATATGATTTTATCAACGGATCGAGTCTTACCTGCAAATATACTACCATTATTGTATGTTGAATAGTATACATTGTTTATGACATAGGAATACAATTAACAATAGAAATGGGTTTACATGTACATGGGTTGAAACTATTGCGTCTTAATCCGTCAAAATAATGTAGTTGATGATGGTTCTGTATAATTATAAGCTATTATTATTACCGAATATGATTGATTTTAACATCTAGGTTAAAAGGTAGAAATTATTGTTCGCATAAGCGACAAAGTTAAAATTTTGGGTGCGGCGTTTTCATTTAAAAAAAAACATATCAACAAAAAAGTCAAATTCTAAATTTCCAATACTTGGACATGGATTTTGTGCTGCAGCTTTTTGTTCAACGAAAAATGGATTTTTTTAGGGAACCTTAATGACTTCGGGTTTTTTCAAAGATTTGATTTGATTTTGATTTTTGGTGTTTTAACGCCACTTTTAAGCACCGCTTTTATGCTATTTCGTGGCGGCCATTTTTTATTGGTTGAGGAAGCCGGAGTGCCCGGGGAAAACCACCGACCTTCGAGAGGAAAACTGACAATCCTAGTCAATTAAGATTGGAGTCGAGTGCACCCGCACGAGCGGGGTTCGAACTCACAACCTCAGTGTTGACTGGCTAGTGATTACAGTAGTAACTACTTAGACCACTCGGCCACCGAAGCCCCTTTTTTCAAAGAAGAGTGACTGAAAAAAAAACCTTGCATAAATGTACGTGTAGAACTTTGTTCAATACAAAGAGTTTTCGGCTAAATTTCTTACTATTTCAATCTAATGAACATAGCAGCAGAAATTTTTTTAAAATTTTTTTCTACTATTAGGATGTGAAAAATAGGCAAATTCATATTTACCAATTTGACTTAAATTCTAATAAATATATAACAAGCTTAAACGTATGATTATCCAAATCAAAAAGTCCAAACAAAACAATTAACAATGTACGGATTCAAAATTTTCTTTTTCATAACTCGCGTAATATAGAAATAAGGAGATGTGGTATTATTGCCAATGAAACAACTATCCACCAAAGTTGTGGATGTAAGCAATTATAGGCAACCGTACGGTCTTCAACAATGAGAAAAACCCCTACCGTATAGTAGGCTATAAACATGCTTAACATATGCGAAACCTATCTCCAGCTAGAGTCAAATAAAATGTATGATGCATTTATTAAGTTCACGATATCAAAACATACTTTTTCACATTCTATCAATATTGGTACATTTGTAAAGACTGATGGTTTATAACTACTTTTAAAATTTATTTATCTGTCACCCACCATAAAAATACAATTTGCGCCCGGGGAAAAAACGATGTAGTTACATGCACTATATATTTTAGCTTAAAAAAAACGATACGGATACATTACTGGAGGAAGAAAATATATTCACCCATTCAGGAGTATATGGAAGCTCACAGTTTATGTATTGTAAGCTACCTGGATCAAGAAAGAAAAGATCTACTGGTTTTGAAACCGTTGCCACTGGATACCGTATCTCAGTTTCAAATAACGGACAAAATTATACGGACCATGTAACAACAATTGTCTACGACTCGACGTGCTATGAATGTGATACAACAACTATGTCATGTGATATTTTGGTATGTTAGTTTACAGTTTTGCAGTCATGTAACCAAGTTAAATGTGTTCTTCGGTGATCTTTCTTCCTGCAATCTATTATTTTGTGAATTAGCACGTCAAAATCCTGCTTAGCGTTCCATTTAATACAAAGTGAGATTCATTTTCACAAGTTTGATTCATTTTCACATTAAATTGAGTATATTCGTGTCCTAAATATGGTTGAAAGATTTTTCACTGTAAATTTAAATACCTTCCTCCAATATTGTATTATGAAAAGATGTGTTTATGTTTCCGTCGTGTGCAATACCATTTTACTATACTCCCTATATCTCATTTATTTGGGCATACATGTAAGTGACTTCATTTTCATTTGTATAGTTTTTATTTATGAAACTTTAAAGTGTGCAATTTATTATCCGAGAATGGTAACATTTATATATATTTAGATTTCTGCTATATTCAAATTAAATGTTTTTCTTAAAATTTTCAGGAAACATGTCCTATTAAAGCTGAAGGTATGTAAAACCGTTGTTAATACTTAAAAAATAACTCGTCTTTTTATGTGGATAGATTGAATCCTCCTTTTAGTCTAGTCAATTTAGAGAACAACCTGCAACTAATTGCAACACAAATTTTTTCTCTGAAAAACAAGTCTGTTACTATCTATGAACAACTTTCTAAAATTATACAAAAATATATTTTGCGGAAAGTGGTGTAATTAATTAAAAATTTTTGTAGTAAAAGTAAGGTTATATGAGTTGCTTCCCCTTATTTGCCAAAGTTGAAAAAATTTAATTTATACAAAAAGTATTCAGTATTTTTTAAAACAGTTGAAATAATACAATACAATACATAATTATCTCAATTAAAAAAAATAATATTACAAATGCATCACTTTCTTGTCTCAAAATTTGTATATTTGAATAAAGATATAGACCGCAATTGTGTTCTGCTATTTTACAATCCAAGAATCTAATTCTCCACCACAGTGTTGGCATGTAACCTGTAAATGGAAAACTGTACTGAATTAGATTAACCAACTTAGTCACAATCTTACTCGGTATTTGAAAGAATTCTGCCCGTGTGTTTAAGGCGCTGACAGTTAATATTTTGTTGAGGGAGGGGTTCTGGAAACACATGTTTTGTCCTTTATAAAAAAAATGTTAATGCAAGACTTAATTTTTGAAATTCAAATTCTTTAATGTATTTTTTCCCCACAACTCTATAAAGAAAACAATATCTTTATTTTCATTTTCCTTCTGGAACAAACATGTTAAGATTTAGAATCCAACAATGTTTTTCATAAAACAAATACGAATGATGAGTGTTAAATGATTGTATGTGAAATATTTTTTCACAAATGAAAATTTCGAGCTCCTCGAAGCAAATAGCTACTCATGTAATTAGCAAAGATCTCAGTACTCACTCACCATATAAATAAAGCTTTGGCTGTAACACTGAATCCACTTTTCACTTTGGTTGCTAATCGGATGTGTACTGATTTATATTTTAGTCGGTGCCAACAGTATTTATTCATCAACTGTAATTAGCTTTGAACTAGCTATTAGAACTCAGTGTCTATTTGTTAATTGGTTATATACTCCGCGCTTATCTTTTTGAGTCGAGTCCTTTCCAACTGAGTTTTACAATTTGTTCTTATGTTGTTTGCTATTTCAAAACTGTTCCTGATTATGGGAGGGTTGAGTGCTCGCAAACATGGTTAACGCTGCACACTATTAATATGATTATCACAAGAAAGAGGCCCTTTATTATTTGGTGGTTATTGTTTGCTGTCTGTCGTATTTGTTTTTCCATTTATTGTCTTAACAGTTTTATATTTTAACGATGAGCTATTATAGTTGTTAACATCCACACCCACATCATTGTTTTCTCTTGTTGAAAGTTTTCTCATTGGCATTCATAAAACATCTTCTTATGTTTTTAAAGTGGGGATATTTTACAATAAATCATGGTTTGACTGTGTTTGATTAAACATACTACCAAGAAATCACTGATAGAGTTTAGTGGACCTTAAAAGCTAAACATTTATATTCTTTAGGCATGAGGTGTATTTTTTTTAATATTTTTTTAGTTTCATTCAAATGAGTTGAATACAGGTCAGCACATTCCTGAAGCAGAAAACGGCGTCTTTAACATTGATATTTCTATAATAGAGTATAATCATGAATCAAGAGAGATTTGAGGTTTTTAAAGTCAATGAGAAAGCAACCCAAACGACTAACAAAAAACCAAAAGACATAATTTCAGATTAGACATGACTATCTAAACGCTAACTCTGGCCATAAGTCGTCCACTTTTTTACAGTTCTTAGGCTTAAGCTGATTACCTTTTATTAAATTAATTCAATGAAATATCTTAAAGAAGGAATTTTGTAATGCTTTTCTTTATATATATATATCTTTGACCATAATATTTTCATACAGCAGTCAACCCATGTTAGTCCTTTGTCATTATCATTTGATTGATATTTCAGACCACCACATACAGGTTTTACCTTACTGGGTACACACATAAGGTGGTGTTACTATTAACACTTTCTCCAGGAAGTGATCCCATCAATTCATTCAACAGTGCTTATCTCATTTTCAACATCCAAAATGACCACTTTGGTACAATTACTATTTAAATTCAAGCTCTGATAATCATATTGACAAGGCTTCCCTTGAAATTGCCTTAAACAATATCAGATCTATATTTCATGCTAATTCAGTGAACTAGTAAATGTTATCAAATTTAAAAAGCTTTATATCTGAAATTAAACTTGGATATTGATAGAGCTTGCTAAATAAAATTATTCTGTGTTTAACTGTGAATTTATACAATTCAAATGTTGAAAAAGCAGCTAATGAAAAAATAAACAAACAAAGGACTACAATCAATGACGATGCAAGGACACTAGAAAAATAACTCTTCCAGCAATTAACATGACAAAATCAAAGTCAGTAACCAAACTGATTTACAGTTATTTTTTAACACAATCCTTTTTTTTTTTGTTTATTATACCTACACGTATAATTACTATAAATACATAACAGAAACATAAGAGTTTTACTGTGTGTTTATGTATTCTACATTGTCTAGAGAAACTAGGGGAGGGTTGAGTTCTCACACAATATGTTTTACCCAAGCCACATTATTGCACTTATCCCAAGTCAGGAACCTCAAGATCTAGCCTTTGTTTGTCTTGTGTGTGTGTTTTTGTTGTTGATAATTTTGGGTCATTTGTATGTATTGGAGTTCAGGAGGTTCAGGAGTCGATTTCACAAAAAAAACTTACGATTAAGATTGATCGAAGGTATACTGAATTGTCCATGACTTACGATCAATCTTAGTCGTAAGTTTTTTTTGTGAAACCGACTCAATGCCTTTAAGGTGGTGTCCATTTCGCTGAACTAGACAAGTGTACAAAATAATTAAGGGGTCAGCTGAAGCCTACCTCCGTGTGCCCGATTAACTTGCTATGTTAAAGACCCATTATTGTGGCCTTGTTTTCTCTTTGACACATTCACGTTTTCAAAATTCAAACTGGAAATAACCAAGATTTTGAAATTTTCATTTTTTATGCCCCTCACTTAGGGGCTTTATGTTTTTCGGTCTGTGCGTCCGTTCGTTCGTTCGTCCGTCTGTCCCGCTTCAGATTAAAGTTTTTTGTTAAAGTTTTTGGTCAAGGTAGTTTTTGATGAAGTTGAAGTCCAATCAACTTGAAACTTAGAACACATGTTCCCTATGGTATGGTTTTTCTAATTTTAATGCCAAATTAGAGTTTTGACCCAAATTTCACGGTCCACTGAACATAGAAAATGATAGTGCGGGTGGGGTATCCATGTACTATGGACATATTCTTGTTTTGTAATTAGTTCGTAAAACAAATTGATTATTATTGGTATTGATAATAAGAGGAATACATATGCATATAAACATAAGATAATATAGTCTGTCTATAAAGATCCTATGTTAAAAGTTTTAACCATGAATAACCGAGCTTTTTATTTCTATTTTTCACAATTTTTCTCTACAAATCACATTTTACCCAAGAATTACAATTTTTTTAAATACTAATAACTATAGGACTTCTTAAGATAAACATCAGATAGTATTTTCTATTTAGATCCCAATTCGAAAGTTTTAACCATCAATAACCGAGATTTTTTCATTTCCAGTTTTCAGGTTTTCTGTCTTAAAACATATATTCAACCAAAATTACCCAAATATTAATATTGATAACTAAAGGACTCACAAAATAAACATAAAATAGTATGTTCTTTTTTCTATATAGATCAAATTTCAAAAATATTAACCATTAACAACGGAGATTTTCTACGTTTCCAGTTTTCGACGTTTTTTCACTAAAAATCACTCATTTCACCTCAAAATTACTTCATTATGAATAATAATAACTAGATGACTACATAATAGTCTATTAAGATAAGGTTTCCTGTCTCCTACAAGCTTTAGGTCTAAAAATGTTAACATAGATAACAATTTTTCTTCTTTTCCAGTTTTCAGCATTTTTTCTCTAAAAACCACATATTTCACCCAAAAATAACCTTTTCCGCAAATTATATTATTGTATAGTTTTAGTATGTTGTTAGTACAAGTCTATATTATAATTTGCACTAAAAAAACCTTGTGTTGCAATTAGTTGGAGGTTGAGTGATTTTAGAGCTAAATTGACTAGGCTATTTATGTATAATCGTTTATCTCAAGAATTATATTAGATACAATGTATGTAGATGTACCTGACTTAAATCTTATATTTTATGTATTACATATTAAGTTGTTGAGATTCCTTTTGGTCCATATCTACTCGTGAATTCAAGTACTTATATATCCTCGGCTTTCAAATTATTAATGTTTACTGTTCCTGAGGTAAATCGACAAATGCGCTTTGGATGCAACAACTTTATACACTATTATTTTTATTTTCTAGCATCGATTCGATTCGGCTGAGAGGTGACTGCTATTCCTTGGTGTATAATCAACTCAATAGTTAGAGCATAATGTTTTAGTCATGTATATCTACTGACTTGATGTATAACATACTTTTCATATATTCTCCGTTAAAATTTTAAACTAGAAGTTAATAAGAAATACGATATCAATTCCATTACACAAGGTAGACCTCAGATTGATTAAACTATTTTATCATGTCCTATTCAACCATTTAGCCCTTCAAAGGTACTTATATGCATCATTAACTTACACACAATTCAAGTTGAGCGTTCCTGATGAAAGCTAATCCAGGAAAGCACTTCAGACACGCCAAATTTATTTGAATTTGCAAAACAATTAAAATTTTGTTTTATTTATTTGCGAAGTCCTAACATTAGGTCCACATAGACCTGCAACTACTAACATAATGACTAATCGATGCAATTGTTCACAGAGCCTTCAGAAGAATCAGAGACAAAAGTTTGGTTAATTGTACTAATAATAGCGCCTGTTATCATCATATTAATTGTGATTGCTGTAATCATCTTCAAATGGAAAGTAAAACCAAAGTAAGTAGTGGTATGGAAATCATAGTTAGGTAGTTTTCTAATTATAAAACAATACATTTGTAGGACATCGTTTACAAATTGTCATGATACGATATATGAACTATCAAATGTAGAAATCTCCTCAATCGTTCGTTATTGTATTAATAGGCAATTGCATTGAATGTCATAGTGAAAACTTTATACATTTTAACCCCAAATAAAAACAGTGATATAGAGGGAAAGTATGAAAAAACCTCTGAATATGATTTCGTGTGTAAACGTGCATTTCTGTACAGAAATAACATTTATCAGGTGCGACTGCGACTAAAAGCAAAATAAACCCAACGACGACAACAAATTAAACAAAAATTAACAAAAGAAAAAAGTTACAACGCGAAAAATAGGTTAGCTTCAAGAACACATCCAATATAGTGTAATGTCAACTTGCATGTCAAAACGCAAAATTTGCTTCAGGAAAGTTAATCAATGTCACAACAATAGTTTCTTCAAGATTAAACAATTTCATGAATTTGAAATTTACCAAAAAGGGTATAATTTTAATTTATTTTATACAATGCATGTCATATAAATGTTGAAATATATGTACTTATTCTTCAATCCGACATTGATATAATCACGAATTTACCCTAAACATGCTAAAGGCACTCCGGGTAAACAAGATTGTGTCTTGTTTCGCTCTATGAATTTTACGAATAAATGTTCTTGTAAGGAAGAGCTTTCATTATATGGCAGGCAAAGATACTCTGTCAATCCTAGGGACAATAAATCCAATGTTTCAAGAAGATCAAAGCTACCTAAGTTCTCGAAATCTTGCAACAGCTCTGTACAGTGAGCACGACACTCTCCAACATTACGCATTGGCCAAAACTTGTCCTTTGCGATCGGATTTTATTTCGTATTTCTTTAATTATAAGACGATTTATGCTTTCCACTACAGGATGATTCTTATTTTATAATCAACGCGTGGTTCGTTTTATCTCAATTCATAATTTGTCACAATATCTCTCAATTTGATATTGTGACTCGGAAAAATGCGTTCATGTATGATGAAGTCACATAGAAACAAACACATATTTTGTGTAGATCATTTAAAAAGAAGTATAAAGTTTGCCTACTTGTCGCATAAAAATCATTAGAGAAACACATTTCACCACCGAATCTCGTGCATGCGATATTTCTCCCCTCTCAACAGTAACGTGTAAATTTTAATCATTTAAAATACTCGACAGGACTCGTTTTAAAAATCTAACTGTCACGGGAGGAGAAATATATCGTATCACACTTGAGGCAGTGGCGGAACATATTCATTTCGTTGGCCAAAGTTTGCCATGTGTTTAACTGTCGGATTGAAGAATCCCACCATGGGTCACTATGTCAGTTAATCGTTTGAATCACATTAATGACTTCTAACTGTATAGTATGATATAATTTTGAGATCACCTTTTCATTTTAATTTCAGACAATCTTATGTAAGAGACTCGTCGTTTATAAGCATGCCAGACACATCACGAGAGACTGTGGCAAGGCGTAAATTCCTTGACAAGGAGAACATATTTTTTAAGACATTTCTATCTGAGTCTGACTTACATGATTAAAATTTTGATTAGTAGTGAAGGAACTTAAAAGAGATATCTTAGCTCATTCTTGTTATACAATTTCTTTTACGTAATGAATAAAGGCCTAATATGTATGCTCTCCTGCTATACCTAAATTTTTATTAGTATCATTCTATTCATACAATTGTTGTGAACGTCTAATAAGTAAGGCGTTATAACTTATGCATTTATATGTATAATCTCCAATATACATTATTAATATCATTCTCTTAACCTTTCGAAGAGAAATGCATTAAGAGACGACCACATGATACTTGATATAAGTCTTAGGGAGGAGGGGTGGTTGGAGGGAGAGGGTACAGGAGAATATTTGAAGTGAATATTCCCGGTCAGGACTAAAAAAATAACCTATATAAAAATAAGAAGATGCGGTATGATTACCAATGAGACAACTATCCACCAAAGTTCAAATGAAGTGGATGTAAGCAATTATAGGCAACCGTAGCCTATGAATATTCTGCGTAACAACCTGCAGGAAGTAAATGCGTACACATCCGCGAAAGTCGCGTTAGAAATTATATAACATTTAAGCAAGATTAACAATTGGTGAAATGAATATTTCATCAGAAAAATAAAACTCCTACTTGGAATTATATAGCGAGTTAATATAAATTTTTTTTATTTATATACAGTTTCCAATATTCCGTCTAGTTTTTCCGATACAAAGATTTATAGACTCAATAAACAACCGTCATTTAACAACTTATTTCTCAAATAATTCTCAAGAAAATATTTCCATGCGTTTAAAAATTTATATTAGACTTATTCATTTTGCAGTTATTTATAAAATTATAAAATTGATACTTAATATGGGGAGGGGGTGGTATAGGAGGATCTTGGAATTGAATATTCTTCCTGATTAGAACAAAAAAATAGCCTATATAAAATAAGGAGATGTGGTATGATTAGCTATGACATAGAAGTTAAAAACTATAGGTCACCATACGGCCTTCAAATGACACATGTGAAACAATTCAAACCAGAGAACTAACGGTCTGATTTTTGTACAAAACAATGAACAAAAAACAAATTTTAGCTACTGTCCCTTTGATTTGGACAGATGAAACAGTCATCATACGGCTGAAAAACTATTGACAGATGTAAAACACATCTTTTTATCATAATCCACAAAAAACCAGGACTTACATAAACGAAATCCACGTTTACTTAGATAAAAAAAAAATGAAAATTATCTAAGTTTTAAGATTATTTTAATGATTATATATTCAAAAATAAGAAGATGTGGTATGACGGCCAATAAAACAACTCTACACCAGAGACCAAATGACATAGAAGTTAAAAACTATAGGTCACCATACGGCCTTCAAATGACACATGTAAAACAATTCAAACGAGAGAACTAACGGTCTGATTTTGTACAAAACAATGAACAAAAACAAATATGATATACAGCAACCAACGACAAGCAATGATTAACTGTTCCCGACTTGGGACATGCACATACAAAATGGGGCGGGGTTAAACATGTTTGGCTTAGATTACTAAACTACGACCGATAAAACGCTTAGAATGTAAATTACTTTGATTGATACATGTAACCAGGCTCAAACTGGCAGCCACTTTTAGCGCCATTTTATGAGAATCACGACAGCCATGAAAATGCCGGATTCCCAGGTCAACGGAGGTATTACATTATATTATACTTAGCTAAGATTTTGAGATTTTTGGAACGTGAGAGTCTTATACAGTTTTTTGGTTTTGAGACATTGGCTGCATGAGACTGCTGGCCTTTTTTGGCTGCTAAAAAGGCCAGCTTGAGTCTGGTTTACGTGTATCATAAATGTACAACCCTCAATCATATGAACTTGTATCATACTTTCAAAAATTTTAATTCGGAATGATACTAACTTAACTGCACACGAGGCGTGTTGTGGGTAATTTTTTTAAGGCACATGCAATAATAAAAGTAAACGAATTTAAAAAAGCTTGAAACAATCAAGATGATGAAAACGCATCATCTAAATAAAACTGCTTATCTTTCAAAATTACATTGGTAGTTATAACCTAAATTTTTAAGTACCATCACACACAAAACAAAAAAATACACTATTCGACATGAGATATCGATTTAGGTGCACATGACACGTGAATTATTAATAACCTTTTCCAGGACACTAAAGATTTGGACAGCGAACTTGAGTTTTTAAAGACCCTCCCTCAAAAAATGTTGTATCACAATATCAACATCCTAGGGTAGTGCATGTAGTGATTTATAAATCTCATTCTGCTTGCTCTTCATTATATGTAGGCAGTTTTTTGCATTTAGTTATTGTTTTCAATTTATATGGATTGCTTATTAAAATGGAAATATTCAGTCAAAGTGCAATAACTTACATAATAATGGCCGTAAATATTTGTGGATAAAGTTTCGTATTATAATTTATTAATTTGAGAAGTGGACATATAGTGTAAATTATCATTCAAATGTAGTATATATGACAAGAAAAAAAGAAGGTATGTTTTAAATAGCTACAGTACGGATGTTAGGAATTTAAACTACATGTTCCACAAACCTAAATCAGAGCGCCAGGAAATGACGATGTTACACAAACTGGCAAAAGTATATAATTCTTAAGAATTGTTTTGCTGAATTACTTGTCTTTTCATTTCATATGTTTTATATATCTGAAATGATTTGAAAAAGTCATTCAGTCACACATTATATATTATGTAGCGTATTCGCTGCGCACTCGGTTGATCCAGGTTCGACTCCCGACTGGGTCAAAATAAAGAGTTGAAAATTGTTTGTTTTTGCATCACCAACCGGCATGAAGAAGTAAGGCTTAGAACAAAGATTAGGAAATGTGAACATAGACGTGACAAATGCCAAGTTGGAAGTAAGATATATTAAAATGTATATAATAAATTTTGGACAAGACCATACCACTCTTTCGTAGTTCACTCAGTGTTAAATCGGTTTTCATTGATAGCAATAAATTGCTTGCTTCATATTGCATGTTCTAAGTATAACCTAAAGCAATTAAGGTTCAATGTTTCGATATCATATAGGAAAAAATGATGGCTCATGCCTTCTGAAAAAAAATTATAAGTTCTATAATTTGTAGTGAATTCAGATTTAATTTTATTTTTTTTATATTGTACAATAAAGGGGAGCAATTATATTCTTTAGAGACAAACATGATTAGAAATGAAAAGAAAATAATTACGTAATGACACAAAATCCCTACACCCACTTTACAAAACTCAAAGGGAACACAGCTTTTATTGCTATATTCTTCTTTTAAGAAAGAGGCTGAAGATACAAAGTTCCTTTTCAAAACTCGTAAGTCGAATAGAAACTGACGGCGCCATGGCAAGAAAAAGAAGACGACGAAAAGACAGGCGAATGCTAACAAAACGACATAGAAATCTAAAGACTTAGCAACAAATACCCCAACATCACACTTGTCAGGTGCTCGGGAGAGGTTGTCAGATCAACGTTTATATATGTGCAAAGTCTTCAACACTAAGCAAATATAACCAATCACTCTTAACTTCGAAACGGTCTCTATTACCGGTCGGAATGGTTCATCCATGCTTTTACTAGGAGCATTTTAAAGATGAATGAAATAAACACTAATTTTCTTGATAAGTTTCGTGCGTCCGAAGCACTTTCTGGATTTAACTTAATCAGTGACGCTCAAACTTTAAATATTTAAATACTCTAAAACGTTAAGAACTTTATGATCATAAAGGATGGTGTGGATTGGGTTTACAGAAAAGAGTATAATGGGCAAAAGAAATAAAGAATCAAGAAAAGTGGGCAAAAAAAATTTAAAAAAAAGGGAAGAATGGGGTGCTACAATATAAAGAATAACTGCAAAAATCAATGAAGTGGGTAACAATATACTGATTACAGAAAAGAACAATGTTCAGAATACATTTATCATGTCATTACAGAGTAGCCATTATTTTCAAAGATAAAGAAAATGATGAGCGAAAATTAAAGAATAAAGAAATGAAAGACCTGATATTTTCCTAATTTATGAACGGGGAATTTTTAAGGTTTATGTTATAAATAATGTCAGTACCGAATCAATGACAACTTAGATGATGCTATATCTGCACCCTCGGGGACTAACAGTTGATCAGTATCGGTTTCTACCCAGTGCTCGTAAATAAAATAAGCACTTTATAAATTTTAGGAGGTATATCCTCAAATACTGACTAAAATTGGCGAAGAAATTTTCAATACACACTGTTTATTTTCTCGGTTAACTCGATGTATAATAATTGGAACATAAACATTATAACGACCATCGATTAAATCAGACTATTTGCCGCACATTTTAGCATTAAATTTAAAAAAAAACAAGATACGAATAACAAGAGGCTCACAAGAGCATGAATCGCTCACTTGTCAAAAATTTAAATTATAGGCAAACACTCAAACGTTTGTGAAAAAACTGTCTTTTATTGGCATTACTTATCATAAAGGGATCAGCCAATGGTTTCTGTCGAATTGGCTTTTTATAAAGCTTGTACATGGTGTACCGATCATTTTTGCTTTCACAGTTTCTACTTATCTATTATATTTTTCAAGATTAGAGGCAAATACTCGAAATAAAAAGTAAAAAATCATTTTTTGAGGGCAACAATTCCCGTAAAGAATCAACTGAAAGTTACTGTCATATTAGCATTTTTGTAGATCTTGTGTAGCTGATCATATTTGCTGTTCATAGTTTCCACTTATTTATTATAGTTTTCTAGCACAAAAATTGTATATTAGTTTTAAAAAAATCGTCAATTATGGCAAATAACTCTTATAAGGAGTCACCCAATGGGATCGGACATATGAGAATGTTTATAGGTCTTCTACTGCTAATGATGGTTTGCTGTTCACAGTTTCTACTCATCTATTTTAGTTTTTAAGATTATAAGCAAAAACTTGAACACATTTAAGGACAATGTCTCCTATAAGTAGTCATCCAATGGGTTTGGACATTTGTCATTTTTGAAGATCTTGTATTGCTGATAACTTTTGCTATTTACAGTTTCTACCTTTATTTATAGTTTGTAAGCTAATAGGCAAAAACTTGAAAATTAGTCAAAAACATCATTTTAGTGCAATAACTCCTTAGGAGTCATCTAATAATTTTGGTGGAAACAGAAAGTTCGTGGATCTTGACATTCAAAGCATTTATGCCAATGTTAGAATTTCTCTGATCTTTTATAGATTTTAAGATACAAGACAATTAATAAATTTAAGCCTTATGTTCTATTTTCATGCACGACACCCATGTTTGTTGACTAACGGGGAAACACAAACTTTTAACTATATACTCTAAGAATCATTCACCCAAATTTTGGCTGAAATTGGTTTCAGAGGAGAAGATCTTTGAAAAAGTTTAAGACGACGACGGCGGACACCAAGTGATTGCTATAGCTCACCTGGCCCTTTTCGTGCGGAAAAGACATAAAAGCCATAATAGAATAGATACTAACAGATCATTCATAAAACTTATGATACATTTGCCACAGGAGAATATTCCCTGCATTTCATCCTACTAGTAATCTTTACATTGGGTATAGTATATAGGCCATACTGATCTATGTTTCTGGCAGACATACTATTTTGTCGAATATCCATAGATAAGTCTAAACCAGTGACATATATTAAGATGAAGTGGCATGATGTAGAAAATATGGAATAGAATTAAGATAACGATTATTTTACTAACTCAGGCACCCTGAGGTGCAACAAGAGCAATAATATACACAACAGTCAGGGGCGTTACTTAAACAAGTTATTTTTTTTTAGTTACTTACATAGGTAATTTTTGTTTTTATAAATTATAAAATTACTCAATAATATTTTAAATTTCAATAAAACATGGACTAAATGTAGTTTTCATGAACTTTTACATCATTTTATGTCATAAAATTAAGAATTTATTAAATTTGAGAGGAGTATAGAGATAAAGGGTTACTTTAAATATAATGATATTACTTGAATAAGTCATTTTATACATCTTTGAAAGAATTAGTAATAACACTTATTTAAGGAACATATGTAATTGTTTTAGGTTACAAATTATAAATAACTTCAAGTCTTAATTAAATCACAAGTATCTATCTATTTATATCTGTCTACCTTCAACATTTTCAAGGAAAATTATATTTTAATAGTCCTGAGAGACCAATCTTTGACCCAGAAGCGTTGATATGAAAGATAAGTGCGTCAGAAAGGCAATTAGTGTTTCAGAAGGATTAGATTTTATATTTCAAGGGAAAAATAACCAGATTACTGTGAAAATTTGTTAAAGCTAGTAAAATCTGTATAATTGGACACCTATAAAAATAATATTTATTAATGTTACTTATATAAGTAATATTAAAAATAGTCTCGTTTTCAACATTACTTGTATAGGTAATTTTAAAAGTTACTTGTTTAAGTAATGCCCCTGACTGCACAATGCATAATAAAATATTTAGCAAACAGAACAAACAGAAAACACAAAAATTCAATAAGAATGACATAAACTAACTAAATAGTTAAATATCTAAAGAAATTTTACCTAAGAAATAAAGAAAGGAAACAGGGATTGTGTCAAAGAGACAACAACCCGACCAACGAGCAGAAACCAGCCCAAGGCCACCAATGGGTCTTCAACGCAGCGAAAAAATCCCGCACCCGGAGGCGGGCTTCAGCTGGTTCCTAAACAATAAAGTATACTAGTTCAGCGAAATGGACATCTAAAAAAACTCCGAAAAGGAGAATATTGCTGTCAGTTTGTTTATTCCAAATTGGCTAGAGTTATAGGGGGAGGGTTGAGATCTCACAAAACATGTTTAACCCCGCTGCAGTTTTGCGCCTTTCCCAAGTCCGGAACCTCTAGTATTTATCAGTCTTGTGGTTTCTTTTAAGATTTTGGTTCATTTGTTTGTTTCGGAATCTAGTGTGGCGTCCATATCGCTGAACTAGTATACATTATATGTCTGTAAGCAACATAGAACAGTATGGCTTATACTATACTCAATATGAAGATTAGTAGTAGGATGAAATGCAGAGAATACAGAAGTAAGAATTATTATCTCATTGTCCACCGTTGATAGTATCTTCAATCATTTGTTTGTATGTTAGAAAGTGTGTATCGGTTTTTTTTTGTGGTTCTAAATGATGGTCAGGATGGGGTTTTCAGAATAGAGAATAATGGGCAAAAAATGCAGAATAGTGTGCCAAGATAATAAAGAATAGAGCAAAATAGGCAAATAATTATAAAGAGTGGAGAATAGTGGGCAAAATAAATAAAGATTAGAGAAAATCGTCTAGTTGATTTTCTACCGTTAATGTTTCACTTAGTTGCTATCGTTTCAAAAAGGCGGGATATCGAAGGACGAAACATGATTGGAAATATGATTTTATAAAATATATGTTTGCTCATTAAAACTTTTATAATTTGTCTTATTTTGTTTTAAAATAAAAAACGCCCAGGTATAGCATACAGGAAAAATAAACAGAAAACGGTACAAGATACAACACAATACCCAGATGGTTTAGAGCAACACATTTGTCAATAGTATTTCCGTCACATCTTCTTTTTCTTACTTTATTATATATCTGTTAAAAACTACAATAATGATAATAAATAATATATATATCACGGACATTTACAAGAGAGTATACATATACATTCATATTCAATATCATAATTTTGGCACATTCATTAGGGTAAAAATACAGCAATAGTGCAAATTGCACTGCACTTTCTGTTATTTAGGTCATCTACTTCCAACCACACTTGGATTCATTGAAGTCAGTTGCAGATTCAGATCGAAATTTTTCAGATAGAAATATGTGTTCAGATGTCAGAAAATGAGATTTTGGCGCAATATTTCGTGTTGTGTTTGGCAGACTTAATGTTGAATCTCTTATATAAGACTGCCTGAAATGAAAAGAGCAAAGACTTTTAATGAAATTAGTTGTAACTGCATAAATACAATTCTAATTCATAACTGTATTATAATGCAATTCCTAAAAATAATTACCGTACTTACAGAATTAATATTTAGATTTTTTTTTTAAGATGTCTTATAAATCGAATGAAAAGTGTCATAAATAAGCGGCAAATCAAACAAAACACATAACGAGTCCTTCTTTGTCTGATTTAAAGCTTTCATGGTATAATTTCCAATATATTATTTCATGAAAATATTAATTTAAATGATATAATATCAAATACTAGTAAATAAAGGGGAGTATACATGCACATACATGTAGGAATCTAAATTTCAATGTAGTAATTTTAAAACATTTATATGCGGATTATGACGACAGTCTTCAATAGTCACTGATTTAGTATTGGTATGATTTAAAAGGGACACCACAGATACCAAGCTTAATATAGTACATGTAGACTCGTTTTGTCTGTTCATGAGACTCATCAATTGAACTCAAGTCAAAACAGTTGGAAGGCAAAATCAATGTTAAAGCCGAAGGACATTGAAAGCATGTGTGCTAATTCAAACTGAGACTTTGTTTCCAAATTATTAATAGCTATCCTGTTAAAATCCTATAGAACTTCTTTTTGAAAATTTTTGTTTTGTTCATTTTCCTCTTTTTCTTTAATTTTGTGTGTGTGCAGTCACACTCGTACATGTAACGTCTGAAGATTATTTCCATTACACAATTTTTGTATTCTGGAATTGTATCAGAAACTTTCTTATACCACTTATGGTGCTTATACTCACCTTGTACTAGTATGTTCTTATCTATCTAACTGTCTCATTGTAATATACCATTTTATTTATAATAATAAGGTTTCTATATGAAGAAAACGATCTGGGGTAAATCTCAATCACGATAAACGTTTTTTTTTTTTTTTTTTTTTATGGGAGGGGTAGGGATTTTTTTTTTTAAATAACAAACAAGGGGAATTCAAAAAACAAAATCAAACGACACCAAGAGGACATTCAATATACAATGATATATCAACATAAAGAAGTGTATATGAAATATGTCAAGCTGCAAATTGTCCCAATTCTAAAAAAAAAAATTAGTTCATCTATCAGAGGCTATCAAAGACATACATGGACATCGATTTGTCATAATGACAAAACAACAACAATATTAAAGTATGACAAAAGACAACAAATGGTGTGGTTCCTTACTAGTAATATGCACCTGATCGTGTTACAGGGTTTCGTTCTATTAACAATATCATTACAAATAAAAGGAGGCATTAAACATGATGTTTATACCACTACTTACTTTGGTTTTAGTTTCCATTTAAAGATGAGTACAGCAATAACAATCAATATAATGACAACAGCTGCAACTACTGGTACAATTATCCAAATTTTCGTCTCTGATTCTTCTGGAGGCACTGTGAATTTATTAGCAAAATATCATTTTACAATTTTACAGTATTTACAAATAAGTGAAGAGCAAAAATATTATTTTCAAAATAGATGAAGTAAAAATGTCGTTCGTTCTGTCGTATTTCTCATGAGTGAAGAAAATGTTTATCCGATATTTTGTTACCGACAGAATACACTATATTTATTTATATGCCTACATATACGGCAAGTAAGGTTATTTTCATCAATGATAATTTACTTACTTTCAGCTTGAATAGGACAAGTTGTCTGTAAAATAGAAGATAGAACGATATTTTATTCGATATGTGACACTAAATTCAATCAGAAGTGATTTTATTTCAATTTCAAAATATACTTTAGCTGTTTAATATTTGATCTATTTACACTGGTAGGCTCTTTAAATACATAAGCTTTTTGATTTTCAGCAAATATTATTAGATAATTAAAAAGATAAGTAAATATACATTTATGGTTATAATTACACCATAGATAGTGGCCTGAGCACAACATGTATTTGAAGCGAAAGAATACTTCAACAGTAGAATTCTTATAACGTCTATGGTTTCTACGTATTTATACATCCCTTGCTTGAAAATGATCCAGTTTGAGCGTTCCTGGTAACCATAAACCGCTTCGGACGCTAGATATTTATAAATTTTACTTTCCTTTGTTATTATTTTTTTCATATTCAATATCAACAGATGCTTTGGAATTTACTAAAGTAAAATAGTTTAATTGTCTCTCTAAAACTATTGTCTGGTGCAAATTTTACAAATGGAACCCTAAAAATCTAACAGTCAAACACTAGCGATACAGACGAAGTCGTTGTTTTATAAACAAAAAACGGGATGGTAAAATATACTACATGTATGCTTGTAAAGTCAGTACGCTTTTTTCAAAGCGTTAACGTTTGTTTACATGTACAATATATACCTACTTTGTTATCATTACAAACTATAACGTAGCACGGAGTAATATTGACTTACCAATTTTTCACAAGACAGAGTTGTTGTGTTACATTCATAGCACGTAGAGTCAAAGACAATACTAATGAGTGGGTCCGTGTAATTTTCTCCATTGTTTGAAACTGCGATTCGGTATCCAGTGGCAACTATATTGAAATCAGTAGATCTTTTTTTCCTTGATCCAGGCAAGTTACAGTACATAAAAAATGAATTTGCATAAGTACCAGGATGAGTAAATGTGTCTCCCTCTACAAGCAATGTTGTAGTACCGTTAGATTTCAGCTAGAAAATACATAGGATATTCTGAAGACATTTCGTCTATGAATAAATACAATCCCAATTGATGATGTATGCCAAGTGTAGTTTTGTTTTTTAGAATAAGTTCCGAATTACTAGAAATACTATTGAATAAAGCCTTATTATATTGTATGATATATACATTTATTTACTTTGACGATTACATTTTATAATATATAAATATATTTACTTTGACGATTTCATTATATAATATATAGATAAATTTACTTTGACAAAAAATCAAAATGCTAAGATCACCTTTTACCTTTATTTATGTTAATTATTCACGTAACTATTTGCAAGATACTGAACTATTAGAATACTGAGGAATATTGATCGCTAGATAATCATTTGGTAACTTTATGCAAAGAATGTTGCTTATTTAAAAATAATGTATATTTCTTAACTTACAGACATAGAGATATATTTGCATGTAAGGCCTGCTCCATCGATGAAGTCATATCCAGGAACGATAAAAGTTCTGCATGGTTTCTTTGATGAATCACATAGATCTTCAAATGCATTTTGAATAATTGCAGGTGCTTGGGAGGTGGTTAGTGAACACGATTCTCCATAATAGCCATCGTTGCATTGACATTCTTCTGTAATAGGTACAACGACTCTAATCGTAATTATACCCTTATCACTTAGTTGTTATTGTTCTTATTTCAGCCAATGTAGTGACATAAATAATTTTATATGTCCGTAATATGGATGGAACTAATTTAGTTTTCGTAGAAAAAATACAACATAAATATATTCTAGGTAAATAGTTTGTACTGACATAATCTGTGGTGTACGGTTGGTAGCTCTTCATTTTATATTTCGTATGATAAGCGTAGAATTCAAAGAATAAAAATGTCGTACGGAAACGAAAGGAAATATTAAAAGATTTCTCATTTCTCATTTTTATGTGACCTTTCTGAGTTCCAAGTTCGAAGTCAGAATGTAAAATTTGAACCTGAGAAATATAAAATTTGGAACTGCGAAATGTTCAGTTGAAAGTGAAAAATGTCAGCTTGAAACTGAGATATGTCAACTCGGAACTGAGAAATGTCAACTCGGAACTGAGAAATTTCAATTGAAACTGAGAAAGTAAGACAACAGAATGTCTTTACCGGCTTTTCGTAATTTTGGCATTTCTGTTTTTACTTGTTTTTTAAACAAGGATGGAAAGAGTGTATAATTAAAATGTATTTGATAATTGTTTTCATATGCGTAGTACGTTAAACAAGGATATTAAATATTGTATTCATGGTAGAGTGCATTAAAACAGTTTGAAAGGGACAAATTTGCCAAATTCAGCTAAGTGCAACTTATCCGAGGGTAGTGGGAGCCCAATTTTTATAAACTTCAATATTTGTGAATGTGGAATTATTTAAAAATGTGATATTAATCATGTCAATAAAGAAGCACTGATACTGAACTGATGACAGTCTCCGATCTGATGATAAAGTAGTTGTATTTTTTAAATTGTGACGTATACTTTTAGTTGTGAGGAGTCGATTGTTGATTTACTGCTGCCAAGGTTTTTTTCCGTTTTGGGTTTAAATTCAATTTAAGTCTTACTGTACATTGTTGTTTATGTCTGATGTTTGTGTGGTTGTTTTTGATACAATCATCACATAGTTAGTCGGTGTTCAACTAACGGTGAATATTTATTATCATATTTAAGACACATCATTTTACTTCTAATGAAAATAGAAAACACAACAAGACTCAAATTTTAAGTTATCTTACCATTTATGCATAGTCCATGGTTAGAACAATCCTCTGGACATGTCGACTCTTCTATAATAGAGGCGATTGGCTTGTCTGCACCACTAGAATTTGTACTGTTTGTGACCGTCAGTATTTCGAGTCGTTTCGATTCTTGAAGACACACACTTGCAAAGTTTCTGATTGTGACTTTCAACCAACTATCTCCACCAGTGGACTTAAAAGATGCATTTAAATGAATTGAACTTGACGAATATTTAATTCATAAAAACGTTCTTAAGATAGACTGTTCATTTTTCTAATGTGTAAAATCAATGTCCCAAATTGTTATGTGTAAAATCAATGTCCAATTTTTATAATGTGTAAAATCATTGTCTAATTTTTATAATGTGTAAAATCTTTGTCCAATTTTTATAACGTGTAAATCAATTTCCATTTCTGTCTACTTAGATTTTGTACTACTTTTTAAAACATATTCAGTTTGTTTGATTGATTGATTGTTGTTTTCCTAAAGTTCAAAAAGAAATATGCTATTCATGTTTAACAATAAATTCAGTAGGTACGTTCTGCAAACATTGTCAGAAGAGATGAAGAGAAAATTTGAAAATTACATTTACCACTTGACAAAATGGATGTTGGAAAGTGTTAACAATTTTTGTCTTGCAACACGCCACCTATGGACACCTGCAAGAGTTGTTGCAACAAATTCTAACGTGCAGGATCATTGCAATGTTACTACACTAGGCATCGGATCTAACGGCCCCATATTTATCGGACATAGCTAGGTATGTATAGATCCCGAACAACTCAATGAATAATCCACCATAGCAAGTAAAGGGGATTTACTGCCGGATTGCGAATATTCCATTTTTCGATAATTCCACATTCACAAATATTGAAGTTTATAAAAATATATGTTTTTACATGTAACATAGTAAACCTTTAGGGTCAACCAGTTTGACGTTTAAAACATTTAAGTGTGAATTAAGTTCGATTTTTCAATGATTTACAGATTTAATGTTTACAGCTACCTTTATATCTTTGATACAGCCATTGATGAATGGAGCTTTGTCTACATAAGGAACATATTCAGAACAAACGTTAAAAGCCGGTGCTTTTTCAAAATGATATGTACAGTGTTCTCCTGCAGATGCCTCTGTCCAGCCATTTTGCCATTCTTCTGTAATCTATCAAGCAAAATCAGCAAAATGATATTTTGATGAAATGAAAATATCTCATAGAATGTAAAATAAAAAGCAGATGTCGTGTTATGAAAACAAATATAATTCTTAGGATTTCCAAGATTTTATAATCAGAATATTCCTATACTAAATGTACATCTTATGTTTTGAAGAAGCATATGCATGTAACGACTAAAGATTATGATAATCTAAGAGCTCTGAATATTATGAGTACAAATGAAACGAACAGCAATCATCATAAAACCGGGGGAATATTGTTTATTAGTATGTAAATTAAAAACAAACTGTACATGATATTATATTCGAACAGTACGGCTATTAATCTTCTAACATAGAGAGACCGACATATCTTCGAATTTTATTATAAATGTTTAGATACATTTTGAAGCAAAGTATAATTGATTTACATTATTAGAGTCAACAAAGGAACAAACGAAGGCCATAATATCTTACTGTTTCTGATGGCTCATCGTCAGAAACCATAGGATAAGAAGGTGGTTCATAATCAGAGGTGGATCTCTTTTTCCGAACTGCTTTTCCTTTATAAGAGGTTGATCTTTTTTCCGTGCTGCTACCACTGTTGCACAGTCAGCTGTATAAACGCCCAAGGCAGTTTTTGTATCTCTACATGGTTTCATAGCAGCTGTCAATTCACAGTTGAAGTCTGGACTACCATGGGGATAATCGTCATGAGGCGATACACATGTACAATACTGCTGACCGTTATATATTGTCTCTTTTAACTCCCCTTCAGGGTCAAACAAAGTCTCGTCTGCATAAGCACCTTTAACTCTACAATATCAATAATTGACTGCTCCGTAAAATATCATCATTATCAATTTTTGAAGTGAATTTTCAATATTCATTTACTATTCACATTAAACATATTAAACATTAGCTTTAAACAATAAATAGTCATACAAAATCATAGAATATACTTAGTTCCTCATTGTAATGCAGAATATTACTTAATATCCCTTTTTATCTTGTATATGTATCTTCGACTTACGGTATTTGATTTATTACTATGTATATCTATTTTCTTCAAACCCCGTTCCTTTTGTTTCAGGAAAAGCTGAAATCACCCCGGAATTTGGTGGGATTCGTGCTACTCACTCTTTAGTTCTTTATTTGTGTTTTGAATAATATTGTTTGTTTTTAACTTAAGTCGTTTTTGGTTTTTTTCCATTGCGTTGTCAACTTGTCATCAGCTTATGAGTTTTAATATCCCTTTGGTGTCTTTCTCCTCTCTTTTAAATAATAAAATAACTTTCTGTCAAATTGTATTTCTGACCTTTTTTTTAGAAAAAAATGTTTTATAACTTTTTGCGTTCGTTCAAATGTACATATCGTGCGTAAATAAAGAGATATTTAGAGGAAGGTATTATAATAATCCAATACGTACTGCCATGATGAAGCAAAAGTTTTGATATCTGTAACTGGAGCCAGCTGATCTCTTGGCATAAAATCATCATTCGCATTACCGTTGTAAATACCACACAGACCTTTTGTCATACCCGTGTCTAATACTGACGGTATAATATTTATGCCATCTACATACGTAGAACCATAATTAAATGTGACTTTTGTTCCAGTGGGGAGTGTTATCTGTATAAAAGTATTAACAATTAAAGACAACACACACAGCCAAATTTAAAGTAGTTTTGTTCAATCAGAATAACACACATACATAGCATCACACCAACTGAAGTCTTAGATATATTACATGTGTTTTGATCAATTTCCGGGTAATACAACGTGGTAATTTAGGAATTGTATTTGAATAAATATTCTTGTCTGCAGATATAAAGGTATACCTGAAAATTATTTCAAGCGTTTTCGTCTTTCCATTTCGTAGTTCATGTAGGTTATTACTTTTATTGCATGTATTGGTATTAGCTTTTTATTTCATTTGGAGGTATTTCTTATATTGACAGTATATGATAGTAAAGGTTTGTTTTAAGTAACTACTGCATATTGATCAACTGTACATTACTACATTTCAATTCGACAAATGATATGAAATATGATAATGAATCAAATTCCACAATTACCTTAAAATTTCTTTATTAATACACAAGTATTCAATAAATTCATGATAAACAACACGTTGTCCTTTATTAATTCTTACCGCATATGTATACCCCGATTTTGTTACTGTGAGACTTTGGTCATCACACAATCTTTGTGTCATATATCGATTTATCTTTCGTGTTCCCTTATAATTTGTCTCACAGTAATTTGCAACAAATAGACTGTTGCCACTTCTAACGGCAACACCACAGTTACAGAGAATCGAAGTAGAGCACTTCCTAAAGTAGGCACTGACCTATCAATTAAATAAAGTAAACAACAAATTCAGAAAAAAAATTGAATCAAAATGTTTACGTCCATGTATATGCCTAGCATAGACACAGAAATGCAATGTTACCGAATGCATGGTTATGGAATTTTTATCGGTCAGAAAAAAATATGCTATTTGATGAAATAATCATACTTTTTATCTCAGAATTCAAGGCTCAAACATTTGCTTCAACATAACTTCTCAGTTATTAAACAACTAAGTTTTTGATTCATTCAGGGAAGGGGACTTAAAAGGAATTTGGCTTTGTAGGTCCTTTTTGGGTCATTTCCTCATGTTTTTACGTATTCATACATCCCTGAATTTTAAATGTTTCTGTTTGAGTGTTACGGATGATGGTTGATCCAGAATAGGGGATCGAATGCACAAAATGTATCAAATGTTTTGTTCATCCCAAGACATACATGTCAGTTCATTTTTTTCAGGAATATATTGTCCATTTTATTGAATTTAATGGAAATAGAAAATAAATATTTTAAAAAACTACCCAGTTAAAAATTTCTTTAACTATTACAAGCCTTCATGTTAACGTTTTTACTCACTGACGAAGCATACCAATGTGAAGAATTTACAAAGTTAATACTTTTTTAATAAAGGTTCAGACTGAAACTACTGATTTTACAGTTTATTAAACTTCAATTGAATAATCAAATAGAGAAATTTTATAATAAAGAAGAATATATTTTGTTCACAGTTTGGTACTTGAGGTGCGTTGTTGGTATGAAAATAAGGAGATGTGGTATGATTACCAATGAAACAGCTACATGTATGCACCAAAGTTCAAATGAAGTGGATGTAAGGAATTATAGGCAACCGTACGGTTTTCAACAATGAGAACATTGGTAGTTTCTTTTGTCAAAGGAACATACTTTTATACAAACATATTTGAGCTATGGTCCAGGTCTATCGGATTTATCATTATAGAACGAAATCGTCATTAAGGACATGTATTAGAAGTTGTCACACAAATTACGAAATTTATCATGCATGTATCAAGAATTTCTTATGATTGTATATTCCTTATACATTTTTGATTAAAGGGCTATTTCACACCTTTCGTTATGCATGGTAAATTATTGCTTTCTGAAACGTATTAGCCTTATATTTGCTTAATGTAAGAGCTAAATAATAATATGCTAAGAAAGTGCAACTTGAATTATTTTTTATTTATGTATTGTTCCCAACTTGTGGTCCAAAGCGCACATGCAATACAAATTACACAAATAGTCTGCATTATTCTTTTAAATTACCTGAAGTGGCAAGCGGTCGTGCTTGTACATAATGTATTCGCCTTCTGTTAATCCTTGGTGAAGCTGGAGTTCATAAATTCTAGAATTGAGTATATATTTGGATATTGTTTATAAAATGTTTTTGGTAAAGTATATCATTTTGCTTTCCATGGTAAATTTTCAAACTTGTGAACGAGATCATATCAGACTTTAACAAAAATTACACATTGTTTTATTTCTTCAATTATTTGAAATAAAAATTACTAAGTAATAAAATCTGTTACTTATATCACATCTTATAATGTTTTCCGTTAAATGTGTGTTTACATTTCTAGTACCTTTCGTATAATGCATGCCTTTCAGGCGTTCTGTAAAAGTTATTGTGCTTGATTGATTTGAAAATTGCACGTTCTGTAGTTTCCATGCAATGACTAGTCTTATACACTTACAAACCATTCTACCTCTGTTTTTACCGATTTTAATATTTGCTATTGATGACAAAAGGAAATTTTATTTCGCAATGCAGGCTCTCTTATTATATTCAACAAAAATAACCTCCACGATAGAGAAAACCCGGTTTGCTGTTACTTTGAAATCTTATTTTTCTTTGTTTGCAGTGATATTCAACTGCCTAACTTATTTGGCCTTACAAATGTTTTGATTCAACTGCACTGATGAGTCTTTTGTAGTCTATACACACGTCGAGTGTTAACAGTCATGATAAAAAATGAAGAGATGTGGTATGATTGCCAATAAGGCAACTATTGACCAAAGTTCAAATGAAGTGGATGTACGCAATTAAGCCTAGACTTGTTGATGAGTATTTACAACAACTGGGTCATGCAACTACTGTTGGACGACTCGTCCTCAAGGATATCATTAACCAATTTCTGTTCCGGAATATCATTGCTACTTCATATCGTATAGATTAACTGTTCAAAGGATTTCAAATCATTTTAAAAACTAAGGTTGTTCTAACCCGGGCTAATAAATGACTAAAGCCAGATTTGAAAAACTTTTGGGGAATTTCTGTTTTCAATGCTCTCCAAATTCCTAACCGATTTGCTTTCAAATTGTTTTGATTCGAGCACAACTGATGGTTCTTTGGAAGACGAAATGCACGTCTGGGGTACTACATAAAAGATATGAATATCTTTTGAATTTTGTTATAACAGTATAACCACGTGTTTCTGGAATGTTCTAAATTCAAATGTACGGTTTAAAATTGGAAGATGAAAATTAACCTCTCAATTCGACCATCATTGCCAATGCCTAGATATAAGATAACCCTTAGGGTTGAGTGGGGTGTAGAAATGTGATAATTTCTTGACTTCCAATTCATTCCAAGAAAAACAACAATCAATCAAGAAATGTTAATATTTGAAGCAGTACTAACACTGTCCTGTATTCCAAACTAATGGGATTAAAGCTACACAGTTTTTATCAATTTTAAAGCGCAACGTGATGTAACAACGCTTGTTTCATTTCGTTGTTCCCAAGAAGCCATGGATAATGTCTGATAACGAAAATTAGTGAGAGGACATCATTAGGTTTCAACATGATATTTCAAATGTGTGTTAATAACTTGGTCCGCAAATTGTAAATTAAGTTATAAAAGTTGTAATTGTTTGCATGGTTTATTTATTCATTTTAAAAACTAGATATTTGTATCGACGTTTGCACAAAATGTTGTTATTGTAATAATTACAATAATTATACATATTTTTCTTTAGGTTTTGAATGAGAAATACTTGTTTAAAGGAAGGAGAAGTAAAAGGATATATACTGTTACAGGAATTTGCAATCCCCTAGAGAAGTACGTTCATCAGAAACTCGGAATATCGCTTATTATAGCTGACAAAGAAAATGCTTCTATTAGGAAAAGAGGCTAGATGAAACATTGTGGCGTAACAAGCCATAGAACGTTATTAAAATGACACCTTTGGAAATTGCGTATCCAGCAGAGATTAAGATTGGTGAAGATTAAAACATAAATCTAAGGTATTGGGAATTTTTTTCTCTTTTTTTCTACACATACATGGCGCTGGAGTATTTGTTGTGTCCCCTCATGATTAGACGTATCACTGTTTATGATTTTGTTACAGTTGATGAGATATACATATGTGTTGGCTTTCAAACAGAAATAAATTAACATACTGTTTGGTGTTTATGTAACACAAATCAATATAATGGAAAAGAAACAAGAATATCTGTGCATACAAAACTATAGCCAGTGTTATGGTACATAACTGGGTAATATTTGATATTTACATCATCATTATCAATTTTAAGCTGATGTGAGCATGGCTTCATGGAAAATTACATAACTGAAACGTTAGCTTAAAACAGGAAAGGCGAAAGAGTAAGACAAATATGCTGCCTATTATTGTAGCCGGGTCAGGACTTTCAAAAATAAAAAAAAATGTTAAACATATCGTGAGTATAAATTAAGTACAATACATTTAAGTATTTTAACAGATATTATTAATATAAAGTGTGATTTGTGCATAATATACTCACTCTACTTTTTTTCTTTCGGGCTCAAACCTTATTGTTCATTGATGAAGCTGCAAACACTGCCACAATACATGTAGCGCCATGTTGATGTAATCTTATTAATATGTAAATATGAGCTAAGGACTTACATATACAAAGGCTGTTCCAGACCAAAATATTTGAAAATTCATGATATAATACAAACGTTGAAGAATTGATTAGACCGAAAAGGACCAAAAGTACCTTCATTAGAAATGATTTTTAAAATTCATAACAGCACATTTAAAAAACAACAAAGGTTTTGAAGTGAGTAAAATTTTATTTTGGGTAAGGCCTTGGCTCAAATTTTACTTTTTGCTGTTTCATGGGCCATTTATTGGCTCTCACCATATCTTTTACGTTATTATGAAAACTGAAATCATTGCATAACGAATACGAGTGATAAATAGCCGAAATGTTTCCCGCGTTTAAAACTTATTTGCCTACGAAAAAATAGGATAGCTTCCAACAATTCAAGCTTTGAACAAGGCAAGGAAAGAAACTGTTGATGACATGTTTGTCTTGTGCAAGAGTGTAAATCACAATGCAACATTTGAATGATAAGATGCATTATTTAATCTGTACTTACTTCTGGTCGAACGTCCTCATATGAGGATCGTTTTGTGAGTAACAGCTTCTACCTAATGTCACAATATCTGCGTCTTTAACATAAACCTAAAATTAAATGTGTCATTGAAAACAATACTATTGATTAAACTTGTTTTTATTTATTACTTATAAGATTATAGGCGTAAATGTTTAAATTATACGGATTTCATACCAGATTTGTTTATCTGACTTAAATGCTCCAAGAGGGTTAGGAGGAAGATCGAGTGAAATGAATTCTACATGAGTTTTACGATCCAAAACACGAATCGGTTGGTCGGTACTTTGTGGCTGCGTCTTATCGCATACGACACATGTTTTCGCCGTCTGTGGTCTAATGATACCGGAATAGTTTTTTTATTTGTAAATTTTCCGATTCTGACTTATTCCCTATTATGAAAGACAGTGGAATTATTTGCCGAACTATTCATGTATACATAAAACTAAAAAGATGTAGTATGATTGCCAATGATACAACTCTCTACCAGAGACCAAATACGATAGAAGTTAACAACTATATGTCACCGTTCTATCAATATTGGATGTCGCTGTCGACGCACCCGGTCTCGCTTCGCTTGGAGTGATTTCCTCGTTTTTTCACCTTGATTTGTATATTAACCTACATAGATTTACGAGATGTTAACACCAGTTGTCTATTCATTTTTCATTTCATACTTCGTTTTTTGGTTTACTTATTTTTAGAAATGTTTATCATGTTATGAAAAAAATGTTGCGGATGATAATAGGAAAAAAAACACATTACCTTGATATCTGGAAGGTGAATATTTTTCCAATATGATATTGGTTCTATAGGTTCCACTTCATCGGAGTTGTACAATCGTAACAAAACAATTCTGTCCTCAATATTGACTATTTGATCTGTTTGGCCCAATATTTTAATCATTTGTTTTTCCTGCCAGTTACTGTGAGAAAACTTAATACCACATGTTTCAGATTTGAATATTAGCCCGTCCTTTGTTATTCCATTGATGCACTCTTCCCCATTTAGTTGATAATCTGGTACACCATTTAAGAGAACCAATATGCAATCGTTTTGTCTGATATTGTCTTTCACATTTTGAGGTCTGAAAATTTTGTAAAAAATAAAAATAAATAAATAACAATGACAAAAAAAATATACAGGGAAGGAAAAGATGAGACAAAACTAAGACATTGCACCTTGAAAGTTTTACTGTGTAAAATTAATGATATAATGGTATACGTCGATTGCCCATTAACATCGTCTTCTTTCTGCTTTAGAAAATCGACCCTCTAAAAAATTCATTTAAGCAATTCTTCTTTTTTTTTAACTTTCATTGGTATTTTCTTTTCTTCAGCTCTCTGTAAAATTCCTTGTCATCATTGTTTGTCTTTTCGTCGTTTTTTTCATATGGCTGTCTGTTTTAAAAGGACTGAATATATGTTATTGCCCTTGACAATTTATCTCTCTTATGAGAAGAATTTAAAAGAAATTTTGTTTATCATGCCCGAAAATGTTAATCAGAATTTTCTTTTCTTTCGTGAGACTCCAGAGTTAGTTTTGAACATGTACTATTAGGACATCCTTATTTGACGATATTTATATACAGATGTACCAGTAAATTAGTAAATACTGATATGAAATATTTTGATAAACAAAAACGTCTTTCAAATTTGTGCATTTTCACGTTACATTTCCTGTGTTACATTTCTTATGTATTTGTGTCACAGTAAGAACCGATTATTAAATGACGTTATATACGCCGATTGACCTTGGGTCAACGAGTGATACTCATTAAGTTCCTGTTTCATTAATGACATGCTTCTTATTATTGTGCAAATTTCAAATTAGCCAACTTCATAATTTATATTGCATGACAAAGTTGAGTCTTTTTTCGGACATGTGTCTGACGTAGTTAATCATAAAACTCATAACAGATATCAGGCTTAAAATCCGGAAGTCCAGCGTGTCTTCTACATCAGAATCACCAGTGGCAATTAAATCGAAACAGATAGAAGGATAATCAAGACATAATTTGAAAAATATTGAAAACAAAAAGGTCTACACGCTGTGTAAGATATAGCTAAAGCCATCTGTTTGTGGAGGTAAAACAAACTTATTGTTTCGAATAGTTTTCGATTTTTTTAAGCAGTCGTTATACCTAAAAAATTACCCTATACATGATATTTCAACTTAGATTCTGAACTGATATAACTATATAACCGTGGAATCTTTTAAAAGTATATATGTACTGAAATCGGAATTACGATTCAAAATTGTACAGTACATGTTAAAAACAATCGAATGAAACATAAATCAAAATAAAGGAGACAGAAGCACCTTTACTGATTAAAAAAATATGATACTTTAAAGTGTTTATTTTATTAATGACAGAGAAGAAAGAAGGGTAGTTGATAGTTTATTATGTATTACATGTCAGTTAGAGCAGATTTATTTTAAGACACCTTCTCAAAGAAAATATTCAATTGTCAATACATTACATATTTAATGAGGTCAATTCGACATTTAGCTTAGTGTTTGCAATAATCAATAACTTGTATTATCTTACGATTTACCAAACAGTGTTTTATTTACGTTATTTTAAAACTGAAGCAGTGGTTTTTTGTGCAGAATTTGATTTAATTATTCATTTTATTTTTTTAAATAACGTTTCATTAAAAGTATTTAACATACACATTTTTTGGCCAGGCGCATGATAAAGGCATAGTTAGTTCTGCCGGTATATTTAACTCTTCTCCCTCTAGAACTTGGTAATCTGTGGTAGATGATGGGTCGATCTATAAAATAAAGATAAATTCCTTCTACAGTATAAATCCCAATGTTGTGTTCAAATGTAGAAAAATACTTTATTTAATGTGTACTTACATTTGTAGATATGCGTATTTACATATAGGCATACAGCTAGCATATGATGATTTTTTTAACAATAAGCCCTAACGAAGTATATTCTTACGTTCTAATTATTTGAATAATAGTATTTTTGGTATTAATTATTGTAACGTTACAATAGTTAATACCAAAAACATCGTTATTTAAATAATTAGAACTTTTATATATTACACATATTTCAAGTATTTATAGAAAAACTTAGCTTAAGCTTATTTCATTCAAATTATGCAAACCTTTAAACCTGCAAAGAAAACTTCTGAATTGTGTTGCGGTCCATATGTTCCGAATCCTTCTCCTCCTACTTGAATAGCACACTTCACTATCATATTAGGCTTATATGTCGATGTCCAGTGTTCTTCTAACATACGACCTAAGCCAGCCTCCACATCTGTTTTTGATAATCCTTCCAATTTGGCGTCTTTCATTTCAATGTCATTGATATACCATCGTGTTTTATATTTGTATCCATCTGTTAGGTCATTTGCATGACATTCAAAAGTTGCCTTACTGTAAACCATTAATACTTCGAATTTATTGACAGCCTCTGTCTCTGTAAGAGTAACTTTTACAAACGGTGTCACTGTTACATCGGGAAATGCTAAACAAAAAACAATAATAAAAAGAGGTACAATATTGTCTTTTGTCACATTTATCAACAAAAAGGCAGAAGATAGAAAATGGACATTCAAAACTCATAGGTCGAAGAAAAATTGACAACGCTATTGCAGAAAAAAGAAAAAACGAAAAGACGAACAAGTCCAAAACCACTACATAGGAAACTGAAGTTTGTGCAACACGAAAGAACCGTTGATGAATTCAGGTACTCGGGGATATCAAGTGTACTTCAAATTAATAGATGATAGATGTATAAGACATTTTGCTTTCGACACACATTATATATTATGCCTTATGTAAAAAAAAAAGACCTATTCGAAAGATACAATTTTGCTACCGCATGCACATGCTGTGTTACACAAAAGAAACTATTTAAAACTAATCAAACCTATGTTATATACATACTGTCACATCCTGGTGAAAATCCATTTTCAGATGTCGTGCCATTTTCACATGGTAGTTGTGTACCTGAAATATTAACAAAAAAATAAGTTTATGATTACGGTTACTGTTGTGAAGTGCATGCACACAGATTAATAGGGATGATTTTGTCTAGTGATAAAAAACTAATATAATATAAGTTAACAATCCCTGCAGAAAAATAATGTTTAGACGCTTTTGAGTTATGATTTGAAATGATTTCTCATCGCAATCGACTTCGACTATTTATTTTTAAACGAAACCTCAGCTGCCGTGAAGGAAAATCAACAGATATTTTTTTTTATTATAGAGGAATCAATCTGACCAAATTAATGATAACACTTACCAAAACAGTAAGCTGACGTACATCCGCTCGTTATACTTTTGAGGAAATAAACATAGTACCCATCACAGTTTTTTATTTGGATTTCATATTCCGTGTGTTTACAATTACCATCATAGTTTGCAGCATATGCTGTTCTTGTAACTGTGACGCCAACAGCTGGGTATGCCTCTTCGCCAACAGGTAAATCATCTCAAAACACAAATAAATATATCATTTTATTATAAATATAAAAAAAAGTTTAAAGTTTAGTCTTTAATGAGCATTCCATGCAAAAATGGATTAGAAAGATTCTATAAAAACTCATCAGTTATCAATCGTTTGATTTGGTACGGCAGACGCGCGTTTCGTCTTCATATGCCTCATTTTTGATGCTCGAAAGTAAACGTTGAACGAACATTCAGGTATGAAGTTAAAGGTACTGCCAACAAAAAAAATCTAAAATCTTTGCCAATTACAGCTACGGTAATCTATGCCAGTGGGTAGAAACTCCTTAGTGTTTCGACTAGTTAAACAAAATATTAATACTAAATTTATGCAAATTATCATAATAATATTTTATGTCAAATCAAAAATGCTGACTGGTTGGTGCCGAACAGGTTTGTTCTGGGCATTGCTCCAAAACAAGTTTTTCTTGGTCTATACTTATAGAAGTTTGACGTACAGGAATACATATTACAGTATAGGAAAGCATGATTTCATGTAAAAACTCATCAACGATCCCAGGCGTAATATTTGGTAAGGCGTACAAGTGTTTCGTCCACATTAAACTCATTAGTGGCGCTGGAATCGAAACCGGTAGAAGGCCAAACCAAATGTAAAATTAAAAGCATTGAAAATCATACATTTGAAAAACTTTTTCGCCATCTTGATTAGGCCATCTATGCCTGGGAAAGTTGAACTTTAGTGTTACTTATACAACAATTTATAAACATGATAAAAAAGTAAATTTACAGACAATAATCGTATAACGATTTTTTATGTCATTACATGTGTTTTTCTAAAATGAGCTTGATTTCAATAATTTTTTTATATTTTTTTATTTGTTAAAAAAAGGTTGTATAGAGACAGGTTTTTTCTAAACTATTTCGAATTGTATTTAATGTAAGGTAGCTTTGTAAGTCAACTGATCGATCAGTGCAGTTATATATCTTAATTGTTTTTAAAGAATTCTTCAGAAAAATATTTTCCACCTGTTTCATTTTTACTGGCATTACATACTTTGACCGACTGAACATAATATTCCAGATTGAAGACTTTATTCCATTAACTAATCCATTTTTTTAAACTTCATTATCTTACCAGTATATAAATATATTGGTTTTGCTGTATTACATCTTAATCCTCCTACTGGACATTCTGTTGGCATTAACTCTCCAGAATCACTTGTAACTCTATACCATCCTTCTGCTAAAATATTATCACATATCTGTGTAGTATCAGTTGCAAATGCTACAGATCGTTGCCAGTCGTTTATATGTTCTGTTGTGTCACATGGATCAGCTGAGAAAAAAAGGTGAAGATATCAATTAATATTCTTAATTTAACGAAAAAATATCTAGACGATCTTTCTGAATTGTAAGCAGTACACTGAACATAATACCGTTGATTCCGTATAGAAACCTGAACATTTATTAAACTTATTATTACCATTTTTTAAAGAAAGAAGCTAGATATATTTTAATTATAAAAACGTGACGACGATACTAAGAGGACATTCTAAACTTCACAAGTTGAACAGACAACGCCAATAGAAAAGAACGAATAACGACAAAAAGACCCCAAGTTCACAAAACACAACATTGAAAACTTAAGACCGAGCAATACGAACCAACCATAAAGCGTGGTGATCGCAGGAGCTCAAGATTTTAAGTAGTATATGCATTATCACCAAAAAGCAATAATATAAGCACAACAGAAACCATAAGCTGTTTCCTTCGGTTTTAAAATCATTTTTTTTTTTTAATTTACAAAGTTTATGAAAAGAAACTTTATTTGATTATCATTACTGTATGAAATATCAACTTAAAATCGTTTCAAATCTTATTTCAGTCATACAATAACTTTCTTGTCTTCGAAAGCTAACCGATACTCTTAATAAATAGCTCATCTCTATTTAACACTGAAATGGAGCGAATACAAAAGGGCCTGTCATTTCACATATAGTTTTTGTTCGTTTGTGACGCCTTTTTCCACATTTGGCAAATTCGACGCAATGCTTTTGATATAAGCAAATCAGGATTATAGGGTCTCGAGAGAGGCAAAAGGTATCAAATGGACATTCAAAGTCGAAAATAGACTGACAACTTCACCACTTGGAAATCTTATACTAATAGCTTAATAGCTTTCTTTGTGAGCAGCAACCCTTTATCAAGGAAATCATAATAGTAACGCAAACCCTGGAATATCGTATCAACTGTGAGATATAAACTCTATATGATGGCGATGCTGGAATGTTGCTACATAGAAATGGAAATTTCACAATTGGAAAGCTGAAATTTCAACCGACCCTAATTGTCAATTTCTAAGTCAAAATATGAAGCAAACTAAACTGTATATGTTGTATCCTTTGTTTCAAGATCGATGGGATAAATGTGTTCAACAAAGTCACCAAACTAAATTTTTTAGTGAGAGGACATCGTCTACATAGCGGAAAGTAAAATTAAAGGATAATAGAAGCTCCTTTATGAAGACAGCCTCATATGAATGAAAGAACAAGTCGACAAGAAGAGGAACACAGTTGGTTCACATGTGATGTTGAGCAGGACGAGTTTAAAAAAAATTCCACACTGATGAAATATAATATTAGCAATCGGGTTAATAAAGTATCTATTTCTTCAATGATTAACGGAGTCTGGCTAAAAGTTCTGTTAGCTAGTGGTTTTCTTAGTACTGCTGTAAAAGAGGGACGAAAGATACCAGAGGGACAGTCAAACTCATAGATCGAAAACAAACTGACAACGCCATGGCCAAAAATAAAAAGACAAACAGACAAATAAAGGTACAGATGACACAACATAGAAAACTAAAGACTAAGCAACACGAACCCCACCAAAAACTGGGGGTGATTTCAGGTGCTCCGGAGGGGTAAGCAGATCCTGCTCCACATGTGGCACCCGTCGTGTTGCTTATGTTATTACAAATCCGGTAAATAGTCTAATTCGGTAAGTCACATTCGTGAAAAGGGAAGGGTATTGCAGTTACGACATAAGGAACATATCCGATATCATCTGTGAAACGGTTATTCCATAACGGCCAACTAATTCGTGATGGCGTCCGTAAAATTTACGAAGGGATGATTTCAACTTCACCATTTGGAACTCTTGGCTTAATAGCTTCCTAGTGAGCAGCAATCCTCTATCAAGGAAATCATGATAGGAAACACAAGCCCGGGAATATCGTATCAATTGGGAGATATATACTCCGTATGCAGGCGCTGCTGGAATGTTGCTACATAGAAATGGAAAGTTCACAATTGGGAAGCTGAAATCATCTCTTTTGTCGTAAAGTTTTGTTTTCAACCGACCCTCATTGTCAATTTCTAGATGTAAGTCAAGATATCAGGCAGACGTAACTGTATCTGTAGTATCCTTTATCTCTAGTTCGATGGGATAGTTTCGTTCAACATAGTCATCAAATTTTGTATGATTTAGTGAGAGAACATCATCTATATAGCGGAATGTAGAGTTAAAGGATATTGCTAACTTCTTATCTTTCTTCCTAAGAAGTTCCTGTATGAAGTCAATTGTAACAGATAGGATTAAAAATTCCTTGTATTAAATTAGGGTCAATGTTAGTGAAAATTGTGTTGACCTAAACAATATGATAGGACATAAACGATAGTAAGGAATCTTGAAAAAGTTGACGTATTGTTATTGACATGGTTTAATAAATGTTCTTTGAGGAGTTTTAATATATGAGAATTGTGTTTGGGAATTGGTTTATCAAATACATTGTGTACATCAATAAAAAAAAAAGAGATGTCTGCCAACTGTATTTTTTTCAGATCATATTGATTTTTAAAATACTATCAAAAATCATCAATTTCTTAATTATTCCAATTGAGAGGCATTAAAACATTTTTATATATGAACTGCGTCGAGTAGAAATTGAACTTATGAAAATAAAAATCAATACATCTACATGTGTTATTCCATTTCGGGTTTGACAAATTTCTATCCAAAGTCTTTAACTATTTGAAAACTGAGTTGATATAAGAAACATACAAAACAGACCAAAACTTAATTTCGTATTTGAATGTTCCAAAATCAATCAAAGTCTTATCATGTACATGTATATATGCACTTGCAAAATGTCAATTTCTATATGACGCAGCTCATATGATGTCGGCTGAACATGTGGTAATTCAATATACATTTATAATTCCTTCTACAACTTGCATTTACCATTCATTTTAACGTATTGCCAGAAAACCTTAAAGTTCCACAGATAATTTTGCAAAAAAGCGTGTATCATAACAATGTTGAGTTTCGCCAGTTGTATATAATTTCATATCAGCAAGATAATCAAATCTGACTGGAAAGTGGTATTTTCGTAAATGGGATGCTATTTAAAACATGATTTATGCTTGATACTCGCTTATTCAAATATTTCATTCATATTCATGACAAAAATTAACTTATTGTACTAAAGGTAGATTATGCGCAGTAGTTCGCCCCGGACGAGGGTGATCAATGTGATCGTCAGCTGAAAAATGAGAATATGATGCATAGATAGGGAGTAAATTTGCCTTGCAACTATCTTCCTATAGACCCATCAGATATATATATAACAATAGATTTTAGAACAAGTGTAGATAGCGTGGCATACCTGTACACGAAGCATCATCTTCAATTTCCCATTTCGACCGGACATGTCTGCGAATTTATGTATTCTGTGAAACTAAACAGGTGATCCACTTTGAGCTTGGCAAGAATATTTCTGTCGGACGGGAGAAGTGCAGAAATGACTAAATTTCTATAAGCCAACCTTTTGGATCATAATATAATAAATAACATGAAAAATACTTTTTTACCCAAGTATAGTAACAATTAACAGTATCAATTTTACAGCACCAAAAATGAACACTTCAACAACTAATGTCTTTTTAATGATGCTTAATGACTAAAAATTTGAAAATCCAAAACGTAATACAAATGTTTACTGCTGATACAACCCAAACCCACCAAACGCAAAGCCAATACCCGGACAAGGATTCAGAGTATAAATAAAGGAGACATATTTCTTACTTAAAAATGACTTCCTATATTTTGTAACAACAAATTCGTTATAACAATATACATGTTATACGATATTTGTCATTATTCGAGTCTTGTTCTGGTATGATCGAGTCAACATGAGTAGGACGATAACACATATCACAAGCACATGCTTAGTTTTAAGTCAAATGTACCATACGATTATCACCGTCTCAATAACCCATCATTTGGCAAAAATTCTTTGATAACCAATTTTTATATTATCAGAGGATGTGTTCTTGAAAGCAAGGTTAACATTTAAAATTCTTAAGTTTTTATGGCCCAATGATTCAAATCATAACATACTAGGTTTCAACTACTTGTGGTTTATGAGTTAAACTAACATTCTGCTTAGAAAAATAGCGATGGGAAAAAAACTAAAATAAGATCAATCTTCTTTGAAATTGACAGAATCATCCTGAGAATGTAACGAGCAAACTTTTGAAATCAGTTTCTGTGAAATAAATGAGATACGATAACCAGAACAAAAAGAGGTAAACAACGCTTTCATGGAGAAGTGTTTTGTTAAGCAGGGTCAATTTCAACAGTTTGATGATATATACAAACTATCTTATCGACATGATGTGAAACAAAAATGACACGTAAGCAAAAAGTATCGGATGTAAAAAAAATATAAATAATGATCAGAACAAACCCAGAAGGTCTCTAAGTGTAAGATAGAAAGATATAGTAAATTACCTTTCTAACATACATATGACCCATCCAAAATGTTTTAGAAGGATAATACTATATTAAAAAACATGTTACTGGACTCACTTAATATATATTTAAATCAAAATGTGCTTTAATGACTGTTTATTTGCATTTGACCAATTCAATCACACCTGGTTATGTATTTAAAAATATATAATTTGTTAATTCCTATCTTTATGAGAAATAAAATTACAAGTTATATAAAGACAAGGAAACAACTTTTATGGACAGTTTTACGTCTCATTGTATCTTATCTGGTCTGTCTATATATAAGACCAGCATTACGCTATCTAGTTGTAATTTAAGATTAAGTTTAATCAAGAGAGTGTGAATTAATTAAATTAAATCAGATGGTAGCAATATTTCTTTTCGAAACAAGTTAAATGAATATATAATAGAATAAAAGTCCGTATTTTACGAATTAAAAAACTCCACAAATGTTATCCATTTTCATAAAACGTACTTGGTTCACTAAATATAGAAAAATTAGCAACTGATGTGTGTTAAAAGCTGGTCTATAATGAATAGATGATAGTAACACCTAGTATGGTATTGATTGTTTACTAACCTGTATAAACTTGTGGAAGACAAATAATTGCTGTGATCAAAATTATATGTGTACTTGTCCTTTTCATTGTTTTTCGAAATTCATAGTTCCTTGTCATGGGTAAAGTGTTATGCAGCGATGAATTCAGGTATTATAAACAGGTTCTTAAATAGCACTGTTCAATCATAGACGACCAATAAGATTATCATATTCTAATTGGAATGTATACACATATATATGTGTAGAACAGTTCTATAATTTAAATGCCCATAAGATTCTATATCTGCCAAAAAATGTACAATTCGACTGATTTACAATAAACAAAGAATACAAATATAAATGCAATATAATTTAGAAAAAAAGATATAAATGAACATAAAACACCATAAGGTTTAGACTTTCCTGATATTCTTGCAAAAAAAATCAATTTCAAAGAGGCTATTTGTAGAAAATCGTTCCAAATCGCAGACATTTGAATTGTGTGATTTAAATTCTTTAACCCCAAGCTTTGGCATTTATATTAAGGTGTATTTCAGTTAATATTTCACTTTTACCATGTTTTTCTGTGTGATGGTTACTTTGTTTTTATTAGTTTGGGACGGATATGTACTATGGGCTGCTTTAAATTAATCAATCAAGATGTTATATGTCGACCGACAAAAAACTGTTGAGTATCATTGGTTACTGACTTATATTACATTTTATGGTTATAATATGTAAATTTTGTTATCGTCTTTCACGAATTAGCATTTAATTTATGTAGCTGTTATTACCGGTTTTTCATTTTCATTAGATAATGTATTAAATTATATCTACATGTAAATTAACTAACCTTATTAAAAGACACTTTTTATCATATTTCATTGTAATTATCTGAATATGATGCAATGGCAAAGATATCTGGAGGTTAGTTTGTTGTTGTAAATATGTAAATACAAATTTGAATATATGGTATGTTTCAGTAGTACCTCTTTGATATGAATATCAAATATAAAGTGTTAAAAAAAATTAAATTTATTATGTATTTAACAAATTGAATGTTTAATGTTGATACATTCAATTTGATATAAAGGTTTTCTACTCGTTGGTCAGATTTATAGTTTTATTTTTCATATTCCAGTGAATATAAACAAGACTATAGTCATACACCAGGATAATATATGTATTTATAGTGCTGCAATCATCTAATTTCTAATTACAGACAGTGCTCCCAAATTTACTTTGTTTTACAAGGATAAAGAAACCAAAAGTAAGACAAACTGCTTCCCTGTCTATACAAAGCAAGTGTGTCGAGCATGGTGTATTGTGTGAAATAGAAAATGCTGATCGAGTAGAACAGTTACTACATAATCAATCGGTTATGTGGTATCAACAGTAGGATACACAATGTATCCAAGGAATGAATAAAAAGGGTGCTTGCTGTGAATGTTATTATGTTGAAGACTGTATGTTAAGATCTAGATGGTTTTTTAATTTGTTTTTATCATCTGCATATGATGCTGTTTCAATTACGTGAGCGTACACAAGGTTACACAATACACAAACCTTCAAATGCTAATCTATTATTCTTCACCTAAACTATAAGTATAATACAACATGTTATCAAAATAGAATTTCTGAATTTGCCAATTACAGTGCTTAAAACAAACTCCTGTAATCATGGCATCATCAGGCTGGTACGATAAATACATGTAGTATTTGCATTTAGTACTATTCTTTACTAAATAGTTATGTCGGGAAAAGTCAATAAAGTAGCAACTCAACTAAATTAACAACAAACACAAGAAGACTTGAACTTCCATTCGTTCACAATATGCAGGTGCCTTTAACAAGTTGTGAATGAATCTGAAAGAATTGATCAAGATCATCAAAAAACATAAAACTTGTCATGTGAATTAAAGTCTAAAACGGTGTGCCAAATCTGGCTATTAAAAATAATGTATTATAAATGAATATAAGACTATATTTAAGAGTTGTTTTATTTCAGCTGTTAAGTCATTGATAAAAATGAAAACTTTTTACAAAACAACCCATTCAAATAATAATTATAACCCAATTCAATTGTACAACACCGCATTCTTAGATGTATACTTTTATCCTGCAATCGACCATTTCTCAAAACAAATACAGGCGTGCATATATACTAAATCAATATAATTAATGCCAAGCCTCCCTCTACATCCAATTTTTAAAGCTCGTACAAAATAAATTATACATTTTTCAACATTGTACGTACATATATTATATAAATTTTGTTGTTTAGTTGCTTTAATCTTATAAAAGTAAACCCTACATCTCATTTCATTCATAACCACCATCTAAACATACCGGCGAATAGCTTTATTTGGAAATATTTAGATGTATTTATTTTTGCAAGAATTAATGATTCGCTTTTTAATCAATATATTCACAGTAGGTGTTCAATTCATACAAATGCTGATCTGTTATTGGTATATGCCTGTTTTTAGAAATGTACCAGGAAGTTGGAAACATGTCAGGGGATACATGTAACAGATAGTGTCAAATGATTGGTCTCGTTATTCTTTATTTATGAACTCTTTAGACATGACGTACTGATAGATTTTTATGAGATAGAGTTTAAAGTTATCGTCGCGTTGGGCAGTATTTCAATATATATTTGTCCATTAACAAACTAGTTTTTAACTGATTAAATGTTCCTGTAATCGGATACAAGAGAAAGAAGATCGTTAAGACAAAAAAATAAATGTAAACGCTACAGTGTTTTAAAGTATCTTGAATTTTATTTATCCATATGAAATTAATCCGACGGTGCGAGGGCTTAACAGGCAGTCAAGGGCGTTACACACCCCCTAGTATGAAATTAATGTAAATGAATTGTTCATGTTTAATGTATATTTTAATAATGATAGATGTTAACCTGTAACGTGTTTGTGGCGTTGATACATTCGTGTGACGCACAGTTAATTATTCTATTGTGCTGTATTTGTGTTCTGTCGTGAATTAATTTTAGGTGTTCGTTGTTATTCTGTGGTTTACATGTTTAAATGGACTATTATATATCTATTTATGTATTTCTCTGTCCTGATTGTTCTTGCATTCATTTGTACTGATGTTAAAATATTTCTGAATTTAACTTTTTTTTTTGTTCTATATTATCTGGCATATTAATGGCTATTTTATGATGTTATAATTATAGACTAGTGCTTTATGAAACACACAGAGCTTTTTGATTTTTCCTCTGGTTTCTAATGACGGTAATTTTAATCCTAAAGTATGGTAGTGACAGATATAATGTCTACTGTTTTTAATGTTGAATGAAACTCACTGATCTTTTATGCACTATTTCTATCTTTTTTATGAGATTTTCCTGGTATGGATTCCAAGCACTTCTGGCTAAATTTGGTTTTTCAATAACTTTGTATGCCTTATTTTCCTTTCTTTCGGGAATAAATTGATATTTCTTCTCAGGAACTGAGGCCTAATGATTTATTTGCTTTAGCTACGATGTTATTGATGCGTATGTCCCTTGTCAGGTTGATGGTGAACGGAACTCATGAATATGGGGTTTGATCTACCGGTATTTTCATTTTGTAAGGTTAAATAGTTCAGACATTTCTTAAATATACCTAAGTTATGTTGTTTCGGTAAAATCTTTGACAAATTAATACAGTAACTATTTAGTTTAAAACCTAAATAGACCAAGAATAATAAAGGTCCAAGTGTAAAACCTTGTGGAACTCCAAAGTTACAGATATAAAACCAGATTCAATGGTTCTTTTTAAATTTTTGCATTATCAGAACGAGATGGGATGAACCATTTTACAGAATAGAAGTATAATAGCAGTAAGATTTTCATGGTCCAGGATCTTGTACGACTTCATCATTTGAAAAAGGTTTTAGTTGAAATTAAGCATCATTGTTCTTTTTAGATTTTACGTAGTTCTGGAATTTCTCAGTTTAAACTTGTGTGTGAGGATTCTGGTTTAGCTTCTTTTATCATTTTTCTATATCATATTCGTTTGTAAAGACTCAATACGGCATCGAATTTTACAGTTTTTTAATATCATATACATGGCACCCATAAAATAGTTTGCTTTTGATGAAAAAATTATGTTTTCCTAAGATATGTTATGCATTCATTAGTGTTCATTCAAATATGGGTGTCATTGACTAAGGATATAGAACAAACAACCGGTCACAGCCTAAATAATGATTAATTTATTTACCCAATATTTATTATAACATAATTCTGCATATGTTTAAAATTTGGCTGTTCGTGTAGTAACTATTGCAATGAATTGGTTTTTTTTTTTTGGTTAGTTTTCAAGATTCACTACCGGCTGATCAACACAGGATTGAAAACCTGCTACTGAACTGATATAGATATAAACGTGCATTTAAAAGAGAAAAAAAATTAAATAAATGAGCAACAAGCCTGTGGCTGCAACATTTAACTGCGAAGATGACATACATCATATAGTCAAAGAGATTTTTTTGTTTTATAATATAATTCATATTTACGATGAGTTGTTTGTGATTACTAATTATTATTAAATCTTACATTCATTTGGTAGTTTGTTTAATGATTTCACTATAAGTATATTTGCATTTCGGTGAGCTAGCAACAATCTCGGTCTCAAAATGTATATCTCAAGAATTTTATAAATGTTCGTAATTTTTGTTGACAAGCAAACCATTTTTTTTTTAGTTATGAAGCAGTGGGCAATCTAGTGAACGTAAACAATAGAAATTTACCCTTATAAAAGCCGAGAAAATCAGAAATAAAACAATGCAAATGAAGATACTGATCAAAAGTTATTTTTACATAAGTTGTCTATTTTAATAAAGAAACTTTTGTTAAATTGTGTTATGAAAAATATCCACATGCAAATACACGATGTTTAATGGTCAGTATTGATGAGCTAATTGCATTAGAAGCTTGTGAAACTGAAGTCTAAAAAATGTTAATCTTTACTGTATATTGATCGTGCACATTTAAAATCTAAAGATCTTTCAGGTCCCCCATTTTTGGAATGTTCTACAAGGTCATAAGCACGTTACAATTTGCCAAAATGTACTTATTTTTACATCCTAGTTTTTTAATACACTAGTCTGCTCTTCTCACGTAAGCATTCGATAAAGACATTGTCTTTTCGTGAATAGCTTGTCTGTCCAGGTTAAAAACAAAAAACAAAAAACAA